ATAGCTGCCAATATCCATCAACTTTGTAATATTTTATATGATGAACTACACAAGACAAAATACAGACCTTTAGAAAAAAGGTGGTTTCTTGGATATGTAATGTCACTGACTAAAGAAACATCAGTGAAAATTAATTATTTAGAATAGCTGCCAATATCCATCGACTTTGTAAGATTTCATATGATGAACTATACAAGATAAAATGCAAACCATCAGAAACAGAAGGATATTATTTATGTATCAAGTGTGTTTCCTGTAGAAACTGGGGACTTAAATGTACATATTGAGAAAAATACTGATGCTTTTCCGAGAAAATAACTTACAAATACTCTCTATTTACTGCCCTTGCAAGATCTGGAATGAAGACATTTAAGACAAAATGTGAATCTGAACAAAACCATCAAAAAAGATTCACCTTCCTAGAATATGTAATGAGATTGTCTAAAGAAACACAAGTGAGAAAAGTTGCATTATTACAAATAATGTAACAAAAAAAGTGGTTGCCCAGAAATTTTATTTTGCAAATATAAATATTCTAGTTGACATTACAAATTCTGTATTTCTGCTTCAACTGGAGAACTTAGCTTTGGATAGGTGCAGTTGGCAGCAACATAAGCGATTGCTCATGCAATAATTTATTTTGTTGGTTGTTGTCTAACAGTATATCAACCACTGTGGGTTATTTAATACCGAAATGTAAATGTTTTGTACTTAATTCTATTTTTTCTTTGGAGATGATGATAATGATTTTAGTGATACAAGTCTTACTCATTAATCCATAGTTGGGGTGAAAAGAGATAAAAGGGTATCTGTGCATAACTGAATATAATAAACCTGGCTGGAATTAGAACACTGCTCTCTGATTAACAATCCTAAACCAGTATCCATTACACCACCTGCACATTGAAGCTTACAGCACTTGATGTTTACAAATTGTCACCTACTAGGTACTGGCCATGGTTGATGTTGCTTAACTTCAGTGATCATATGGGAATCAGTGTTTCAACTTGATGTAACCATATTTTGTATAAGTAAAAAAAAAAAAAGAAATAGATATGATAATCATTTACATGTTCAGTTTGTTTTTTGTTTTGTTTTTTTCATTTATTCTCACATAAATTCACTGAAATAGGTTAAGAGCATCTCTTCCTGTTATATATTTTAATAATTTTGTAATTTTTTATAAATTTTTGAATAAAAAGATTTCTTTTCAAATTTATTTATTCATAAAATGATAAATAATAAACATGTATAAAATGGGAAATAATAAATATAACATTGTACTTGATTCACATTTTTAACTATCTTGTAAATAAAGCATATTAAGAGTTTTATAATGCTTTTCAAAGATAAAGGCTAAAAGTTTTGCAAAACTAAATTTGCTGTTTTTAATAGAAAGGGACCAAACTTGAAACACTATATTTTTTTTTTTTTTTGTCTTTGTTAAATAGTGTCAAAACATATGGGAATACACCAGTAGTAAAATGGCATTAAAAATGATGAACCAAACTGCAATCTATGTATGGAGGAGAAGAAAACCAAACTGCAATCTATGTATGGAGGAGAAGTTAAAAATCATAAAAATTCCACAACATGAATGTATTAATAAAGAAATTAAATTATTTTATATTATTGGCATTCTTTTTGAAAAAAATGTGAAGAAAACTGTAGAGCTCCTGTGTGTCCAAGGATAGCAAACACCCATTTTGTAAATTGCACTGCGTGAAACCATCTGTTAATGGGTAAATTATTAAAAAAAGAAGTGTGTGTGTGTGTATATATATATATATATATAGTTAAGTAACAAAAAATTCAACAAGAAAGATTTAAATCTTATCCCACTCCTCGTCAATATTGTATTGTAATAAAAATAAATTTTAAAACTCTCCCTTCCCTCTCTAATTTTGGCCATGTTTCTCACACTGTCCCTCATCACCCTCTATGTCGCCTTATATAAGCTTAATACTGCCCTTCAAAAATGTAAATTTTAAATTCATTTTTTCACCCTTGAAAGTGAAGTCTGAATATCCAGAGAAAAATAAAATCTCTGGTGAAATAAATTATAACAATGGAACCTTAAAGTGATCTGTTTTTTCTTTAAATTTTACATATATATATATATATATATATATATATATATATATATATATATAGGCAGCATATCTTCCTTCAAACATGTTTTGTTGAATACTATAGATATATTGTTTCTATATTTAAAATCTGCATTTTGAAGGCACACAGAATGCAGATTTTGGTGCAGTTATAATAATTTTGTCTTTGTAATTTGCCCCTGAGCAAGACTGAAAATACTTGAATTAACAAAAACTATGGGGCCTTTTATTGATGAATTTCATCTTAACATGGAAAAATTGATTAGACAACTGGAAAGGATCAGTATGAAAATACACAATATGTCTATATTATTCAATGAAACAAGCACACACATGGTGTGATGGGTAAATTGTTGGCATTTTATATTTTTAATTTCATACATGCGTGTTGTTTGGTTTTGATTTTGTCCATTGCACAATATAATACGATCAGTTGGGCACTGTCTGTGAGAAAAAGACCACCATGACAATTCATTCTGCCAGAAATTTGGAAATGGCATGCTGTACTGCTAGGTATTCATGCTGGAGGCTCCAATACAAGCATTTCAGTGTTTGGGTGTCAAGCTGAGGATTTGTAAAGAGTTGAATGATATATCCAGTCAATATTTTGGAGTTATCACTAGTGATAGTGACATTATGCCTCCATTCATCTCACAGGGTTTCAAACTCAACATGGAGGCCTAGTGTTGCTCTGGGTCAAAGGGGTGGCTGCTGGAAGACCCTATGTCTGGCCACAGGAATCTGCACCATGCTACACAAGCAGGAGAACCCAGTCATGGCTGTCAGACAATTACTGTGACCACATCCCCCCTTACATCTGGCCACCTAATTCCCCAGACTGCAACCCCTTTGATTATTATGTGTGGGGTGCAGTCCAGTTAGAGACCAGCAAAACTCCTTGTAACACCAAAGATGAAATAATATCTGTTAAAATGAGATGTCAGTATTATTTTCATTTTTTGTGTAATTTAGACAATTTATTCATCGCATCCTCTATATATATATATATATATATATATATATAATATATGTGTATGTGTCTATAAATTACTAAAATTTTGCAGACACTGCTCATCAGGTTCAGAAGGTCTAGAGATCAGATCAATCGAAATCTCTGACCAAAGCAACTATTGTTGCTTTATTTCCCTGTTGACCACTTTCTTGACAAAAATTCTGTCCACTTTAAAATACATTAAATTCTAGTGATTTGATTTTATTTATATATATATATATATATATATATATATATATATATATATATATAAAGCAACAATCATTATCCTATCATTGTTGGATAAATGCATTTTCCATTTGCTTCCATGGTAACTATAACTTTGTCTTTATATCAGTTCACTCCAAGCAAGGCAATAATGCCTCTAAGATGGACAGGGTTACTGGAAGTGAAAGAAAAGACTAGAAAGAAGCAGAAACCCAATCCTATACAGGAAACAAGGGATGAATTTTTACTCCTGTTCAAAAAACCGGGGAAGTGTTTCAGCCAGCTAGAGATCTCTCTAGTTTATTCCTACTTCTTTTGCTATCCACCAACACTTTTGCTCTATCTGTTATAACACCTTCTTGTTACATGTCCCACTAAGCTCCATTTTATTACTTGATTCTTTGATAACACTATAAGTTCTATGTTTGTTTACTAATTGTGATATTGCCATTTTATAGTTTAGAAGATTTACTTTTTAATTGCATTAGAATGTCTAGCTGGTGTAATGAATATCAGCTCAGAATGAGAAATCAGAGAGCAGTTCAAATTCCAGTTAAGTTTTTTACATTCATTTATGTTTAAATACCCTTGAGAAAGGTATGAATCCACCCCTTCCTTCCAGCTATGGGTTAAATAGTAGAATATTTATCTGGAAAAATCAATGTTATTCTCAAGAATGAAAAAATGATTATTTCTACAATACAAAATATGTTTTGGCTTTAAATAAACCAAAATGGGTTGATAAGCTGTAAAAATCAAATTACTCAATTGCAGTAGATTAAATTATGTTAACAAAATATAATTAGAAATATCATTAAGTTTTAATGCCTTAAATTAATATCATAAAATTATATTCTATGAATATAATGCGATTGTTTTTTGTTCTTTAAGCTTAGTAGAGTCCAATCTCTTTAATCCAGCATTTTTGGGGCCAGGCCACTTGCTGACCACTGAAAATACCAGATGACAGAAATCACCACTTAAAAAAAACCCTGATTTATTGCTGTTATCAAAAGTAAAAAAAAAAAAAAAAGAGCTTTAAACAGGAAATGAAACCATCTTTAATACTTACTTGCTTTTTATTGTTTCTTGCAATACAAGCCCTACAAAAGCCTAAAACCAAAAAGTAATATATACTTACAATCCTGAATGGGCAAATGTGCAACTATGTATAAGAAATGAGCAAAACACTTAGTTACTGTCAGCTACTGCAGAAAGTTGTAAACAATATGTGTCACTGCCCTTATATAGCTGCTCAATGCATTAATGACAGCTGATTGGACCATGAAGTGCCAGAGTAAAGTGGCTGGACCGTACCATCAAATTCTAATTCCTTAAATTTAATACCATTGAATTTTAATTCTTTCTATTTTCCTCTTTCAGATTTACTACTACTTTTATTTTTTTTATGAACTACAACAATGTCCACTGATATCTACTTGAGTGGAAGAAAGACTAACCAAGGAACATTGAATCTCCCTCTTAACTCTTGTGCTGTGATATTCACAATTAAATACTGTCAGCTCAATAATGTGACACTACATTTTGTATCAAAATCCAAGTCTGACAATTTGATCAGCTTACAAAGTAAAGTTGTGAATGAGTTAAATGTTTACTATTTGCTTCCTAACAAAGTACCAGACTCTGTCCATATGTGTACATTGCCTGTAATGGTGAGTGGTGAAGGAAACCTCATACGATCAGGTCTCTGTAGTGTGTTACGACAAATTATATGCATTGCACATAACTGTTATCCCAGTGAAAGTTATAATGATCTCTTGGTAAGTTATAATGATTTTTGTTTTAATAGCTAAACATTCTGTTCATTAACTCTTACTTTTCAAAAGCCAATGTCACTTTTTTTGTTTGGTTTTATGGAAACGGATATTTTATTACTTAAATGTTATTTTTTGTTAATTTTTATAGTAGATACCCAAATTTCTATAGAAACTCTATTTATTTATTAAACTATATTTATTTATTTATGCCTACTGGCCTGAATATTCAAGAAGCCTTATTAACCTCTGGCAGGATTCAGATCTACACCCCTCTTGGCATCCTGTCATTAGATCTAACATCCTTTAAATGGTCTCAACTATAGAGTATGTCATCTATCAAGCACAGTTGAATAGTGCTTTATAAATGCAGATCTTTTTCAGAATCTTGAAACATTCATATCTGATCAATTCCATATCCTAATGTAAACAAAGCAATTCCTAAAGAAGTGATGGATTTTTATTAATCTGACAGATTTTATTACTTAAAAGTTATTTTTTTTTTAGTGGATATCCATATTTGTGTAGACACTGTGTTTATTTATTAAATAGCCTGTGACTGAGACATTCTAAAGCACATTGGATCTAATAATGGTTTCTTCTGCTTGTATTAATTCTATCAAAGAAAACAAATTGAAAAAATATCTTGCATCCAAATAACAAAAGAGAAAACCTTAGTCCTGTTCATCAATTATAAACCATATGTTTTCCTGGATATCTCTAGTGTCTAAATAGTTCTTTTGACCAGGATTCATCAGTACGCTAAAATTAGGTCATGAACATAATCAACAATTTTATTGACACTGTTAAAAGTCTCCAATACTATGCCATGTCTTCAAAATCTCTACACTGTAAATTGGCACACCCAATTAATTATGATAAGTACTTGTTATCCAATATTTACATCATACATTCTCATGAATTTTCTTTGGGGTTTTCTTCTTCAAGAACAGGAACTTCAGGTTGGCCCTTAATACAACACATAATTTCCATTGGCATGGTTCAGTATGGTTCCACCAATGAGCTGAAATAAATTTTTTAAAAAGTGCAAAGATCCTGCAAATTGGAATTTTACAATATAAAAGAATACTCTTTCCAACTACAATGATAAAATAATATCCAGATTTCAGGAAGTAGGTGAGACAGAACTTTTCAACACCATATTATTATTATTACTACTAGAGTCCAGAAAATGAAAATCTCTCTCTCTCTCTCTGCATAAGGTTTTAGCAATATTTTTAATATTTTTTAGGGATTCAGAGGTGGAAGTTTGAAAGCCTGTGCTGAAGTAAGTATCTTATTTGAGAATATATTTTACCTCTATAAGAAAAAAAGCTTACCATATTTGATTATATATAATCCCTTTCCACTCTTACATTTGATATACAATATTTAAGTTATGTACAGGTAATAAACTGCATCTGAGTAAATATTAGCCTAACTTAGTTTCACATATAAAACTCTGCATAAAAAAGTAATGTTCACATTATTTTACTCTTCAGTTTTAGTAAATAAATCTTTATGCAACCATACAACATAAATGTTTTACTATACAGCTGAAATGTTTGTATCCATACAAGAGAAACATTTCTATGATCATTTTAAATACATAACCTTTTGATATAGCATTTCCCACATTAAAATAGCAAATATTATTTCACAGGTTTCAAGCTGGACAAAGTTGTGTGAATTGGAATTCCCAGAAGCAATGATGACGGCAATTCAGGAGATAAGGTTGGTAAATCTTTCAAGTCCAAAATTCTGAAAAGTTCTAAAAAAAAATTTTTTAAAAATTACATTTTGTTAAAATGATCCAAAAGTAATTCTTAGAACTTATTTGTTAATATATTTTCTCCTTGAAAATCATTAACAAAATTATTTGCATGATTAAATATGTAACCATATAACGGTGCCCTTCTCTCTGTTTTACACCACCCAGACTAATCACCCCTACCCCATTGTGTTACATTTCTCATGTCAGTGTGCCCAAGGATTGGGAATGATGTACTGTATGTTCACAAAGGATGGAAGATGAACTCGAGCACCACAGCAAGAAATGAGAACTCGGACACTACTTACAATATATTTAGTTATTTTATTCAAGGCTTTACTTGTTTAATCTGGGTGAGTGGGTAGATAACACTTTGAAGAACTTTGCAATCCCAATTATGACTCTTAATATAGACTAGCAACAGGAAATCATCTGGCTTTGTGATTCCAAAAGCTTTCTTCTATTTATTTATTCATTTGTTTCTTTTTACTCCAGTGGACACTAGTTAGAAAACCAGACTTTAAAAACTTTGTGTCACTCATAAAACGGAAACATTTGAGATTGAGATAAAATCATACCTTCCTCTTGGAAATCATAATCAAAGTGTCACAAATATATTTATTTCTAGCAATTATAATTTGAAATGTAAGATTCTAAAAGAAACTTCTGATTAAAATCATTTGTTTTTTTTTTTTTTACTTTAACATTTTCATCAAAAATCTCTTTAGTTATTTTTTTAGTTAATTCATGTGAGAACATGAAACAAATTTTTGGAACAGTTAAAAATATAACAATGAAAAAATAGGAGTGTGTTTTTAACAATTTGGTAGAAAAAGTCTGCGTTATTGTTTCACAAGTATAGATTTATATTGTTAAGATACTACTTATTTGATAATTGAATTGCTTATTAGTGATAAACTAGTAAGTAGGTTGCAAAGAGTGACTATGCTACTTAAAACTATCAATGTCATAAAGTCCACAAGTCCTTTGGATTCATTCAGCCTGTTTTCATCTTGAAAATAAAATGCATAAAATAAACTAATAAGATATGTCTATTTTCTTAGGTTGTATATATTTATATCAGTTTTGAAATAAATATTTTACAAAATACACTTTTTGAATATTTCTGTGTATCATATACTTATGTAATTTTTGCTTGCACTTATCTATTTTTGTAAGTATATTTCAAATTTTGAAAAAAACAAAAAAATTACATATTGGATGTTAAACTTGGCCATTTGAAGGGTTTTCATTCTATATAAAAAGAAAATTGGGTTTTATAATAATTATGAGCATTTATATTTTTTTTTCTTTATACACTATTAAATTTAGTAATTTTTTAAAAAATTTATATGAAATTCTCTTACTTTTTCAGAAGCTTGAGAGCTAAAGCAGATCTTGATAAAACAGAAAAACATGGCATTACATACACTCTTCCTAAAGAAGCCATATTGCTTGAAAGTCACATGCATCAACCACCCAGGATTCACAATGATGACAAAATGAAAAGGTATTTAATACAATGCCTGATTAACAACTGGTCAAATGAAGAAGATATTTCCAAACTTGAAAACAATGTGTGTGCCAAACTATGCCAAGGTTATAATCCACTTGTTGGAGAAATGATCCAATCTCATGCCATTATTCGATTTAGACTTGTGAGTAAACTAATCTTTTTGTTTCATTCTTTTAGATCCTCCATTGATATTCATGAAATTTCTTTGATTGATCTAACTTTGTTTGTGTAAACAAATCATCACATTTGAAGTGTGAATTGCTAATCTACATTTTATTATGACTGACAAAAAATCTGCTGATTTAACTTACTTTTTATAATATGAAAAATAAAACCTGCATAAAATGTTTAAAGAAATTTCAGGAATATTTTTTTTTTTTTTTTATTAATGCTGAATAATTTATCATGAAAAAAACTGTCATATACACTGAATTTGCCAGCCACACATTGGACAAACCCAGATTTTGGTATGGAATATTTAGAAAAAAAAAATACACATCACAACCAAAAAAAATCAAATTTATAACCTTACCTTTATGTATCATTCTTACTAATCATGAAGAAACACTTACAGTATTAACACAAATTATTCTACTAGTATTATTTTTTAATAGAAGTGAGGTATGGTTTAATTACCAGGACATTTTGGGGAAAAGAAGAATTTTAATATTTTATCATGCATTTATTGAAAATTGTTTTAGTTATTTTTGGGGGAGCAACGTCTGCACATGCAGTAAATTCATAATAACTACAAAGAAATATTCTGGTATCAGTGAACACTAGTACATATGGTAATAGGTAAAAAAGCAGAAAATGGTTGTTGGTAAATGAAGTCCCATACCATACATACAGAAAAGCAATCTCCACTACTTGTATATCAACAAAAGCACACACAAAGCAAGAAACAAAAGCAAATATTTCTGTAAAATCTGGGATTTCTATGAAACAAGCAGCAAAATATTTTGCAATTCCATTGAATTTTTCAGAGATATTTTTAATGATATCATGTTTGTTCACTTCCAGGAATCATAGTTTCAGAGCTAAGCTCTATTCATAAAACCAATTCCTGGAGAACCCCATTTTTTTGTGGTCTTCATGTCCCTCTCATACATATCCTGCTTTATTAGACAGTAATTTTTGGAGAAAAAAATCTGTGTTCAATACGTCAGCAAATATGCTACTTCTCTTAGTTAAATTTAATTATGTAAAGATATAACTCAAGTAATATTTTTTCATATAGAGACATACAAATTAAATAATCCTTCAGACTAGACTTTTATGGTAAACTATATTATTTTTATGTTTTCTGTTATAGTCACCTTTTGCAAAGGATAAAATATAATTAGCTAATCACTTGAAGCTATTCTGTAAAATAATGTGCATAAGTTTATAATTTCTTTTCTTTAAAGTTAGTTATCAATATGTATAAATCAGTTCTTTCATGTCTCTTATATTACAAAACTAAAAATGTCTAAAAAAAAAATTATAGTTGTAAAAATTTAGTATTTTTTATATATATTTACTTACATGAAAACTTTTATCTTTAATGAACTGATTACTCTTTCATGTTTCAACTTTTACATTTTTTCATCAAGACTGCTTGATTTGTAAGAAACTTAATTTTGCTATTTTCTCCCAAAATTGGCTTATTGTCTTACATCGATGAGATGAGTGTAATGGCAAGTAAAAGATTGCAATATTAATGTGCTAACGAATTAAAATATTTATTATTTTTACTTTTACAATCCATTGTCAGTATTTTTTTTGTGCACCATGAAGACAGACTAACTTAAACCAAGTCTTCTTTCTTTTATAAAATATATATTCTCTGCATGTGTTCCAAAACAAAAGTTATACTGATAAGCATCTATTAATTCTATCATTTAAACACTGTAAATTTGAATTTATCAACTAGAATCAACTTAAAATAGAGCATTGCAGTACCAAAACACATTCATTTAGTACCCAAGCCTGTGACCATAAGGTATTTTTCAGCATGACTTTTCAAGGAGTAGGCAATCATGGCTCGATACAAATTCCCTTTTTTTATTATTAGCTGTAAATTACTGTGCATTTTTGGGAAAGATAGTGGAATGATTTCCTGTTGCTTTCTCCAGAATTTTCCTTCTCTTTAACTGGTTACCAATCAAGGCTAGGTCACCGAGTTTAAACTGCTCTTCATATCTTGAGGATGAGATGGATTCATACTTTCTCAAGGGTATTATAGTGACAGTGAGCACAATAGATTAGCCTGAAATTTGACTCTCCCTTACTGATTCCACTTTCCTTGCTGATATGTTACACTCCAAGCACATCCTTTCCATTTTCTAAAACTGTAATTTCCACTGAAAATATATTAAACAGAGACCAACTACAGAACATATATTGATTAAAAGTGACTAAAGAAATCCATGAATACTTCAACCTTAGGTCATCTTACACATGTTTTATTCCTGAAGAGTGTAAATCTACAATCACATCATGTGATAATGCTGCACTTTCAGTTACAAGTGAATTTTATAAAGTCAGGGTGCTTATCTGAAGCACAAAATGGATTAACTTTCAAGTTTAAGGGGCTCAAACTACCCTGCTACTTATCTATAACTAGATGGAGAAATGGAGTTGTGTTTCCCCCAAAAATAGTATAAAGTGAGAACAAACTTTCCCAGCTAAAGTATGAAATTAGTTTTTCAATTCCATTCTTTATCTTAATCCTTTTGCCACCAGCACATCTACACTACAAATACTTGACAAAATTCAAAGATGGGTCTGTAATATAAATGATTCTGACCTGGCATCTTGACTTCAGTCACTTTCTCAATGATGTGACATGTCTTTTCTATAAATATTTTCATGGCAATTGTTGATGAACTTTCCTCTTTATTCTCCCCTCCCTCCAGAGACAAATTTTACATATGGGAACTTGTTAGGACTACATAGAGACTAGATACATGAGGTATTATGATGGCTGTAATAAGAATGTGTTTTGATGTAGGGAATACTGTGGTATGTTTGGATCAGTAATCATGGCTAGCTAAGTTTAAGATAAGATAAATTGAAGAATAGCCTTCCTTTATTCCTGCTTTTGGCTTTGTGCCACATTTTTGTATTAGATCAAAATAAATATTACTTTCCACCTTAATGCCTCACCTAGATGAATTTAAGTGTGCTGTTTCACTGCTGGAATAGTTAGATGCAACTGTTTTATTCTGTGGAACTTTTGGTTTTTGCTTCCCTGTCACCTATAATCTTAAAAAAAATTTAAATGCAACATCAATCACCATCTGTCTTCCTGTTCCTTCATTGTTCTTCACCTCACTAAGTTTTTTTCATTCTCTCTTAGTGGCTTGGGATGAAATGATTTTAAAAAAATATTACTACTCAAAATATTAACTAAAAAAACAAAAAAAAGTTCACTAGAATTTTTTGGATTCTTCTATCAAAACATTGAGCAAATGCTAATGGAGAGAAATCAAGAATATTAATAACAAAATATTGTAAATCCTTCTTGTTTTAATTAATTATGGAGTAGCTCTGTTAAATTAAAATATTGTATCAATTATTACCCAGAAGTATAGGAAACCTAAAACACGGAATAACCTTCCTGAAATAAATTAACAAAAACAACTGAAGTTCTTTATTTTTTTGGTGGAATGATTCTAAGAAATGAAATATCTGATGAAAAATGAAAAATACTGGGTAACAGGGTCAAACATTATCTATATTCATCAGCCTCATAATCTTTACTAAAAGCTCACCTTTAAGTTTAATCAAATAGCTCCTTCAAAGAAAAGAATATATTAACAAAAATGGTGATTCTTCATTTCCTGGTGGAGAGTTTCTAAGAAATGAAATATCTGATGAGACATGAGAAAGATTTGGTAACTTTGAAAGACATGTAAAATTGTACAATACCTTGTATATAACATAATAAAAAAAATCCCTGCAATATTATATTAAAATGCTTTGACCTGAGAAGAGGGTAAAAGAAATAATAATTGCTTACATATATATATATATATATATATATATATATATATATATATATATATATATATATATATATATATATATAATAATAATAATAATGGACTCTCCCATTAGTTTCAACATATGAGGATCTGACAGCTTAATTGATTCAGTTATGAAATTTTGTGTGATAATCTTAAGTGGTACTTAAGACCCACTAGTGATGATTTACAAAGAATGCCACATATGGAGCAAGAGGGGGGATTGTGAGATGAGATCACTGTTAGATTGGCTGACCTTTTAGATCTTTCTCTCACTTCTTGAAGATGAGTCAGATGATTGAAAACTGCTGATTACACTAAAACACATTGATCTCCATTCTACCTGCTCCATGGCTAAGTGCTCAAGGGTGGTATAAAGACAGCTTGTCTTTGTATCTTAGCCATGGGCATCCTACATTCCTGTAGCCCTGATCTAACTGGCTGTACATTAGGATCTTGGGTATCCTGTCATCAGACATTCTCAAGACATGACCAGCACCATAACTGAGACTGTATGAGAAAAGTCTCGATTCCTCCAATATTACACCTGTTAAACAGGTTTACGTTAGATGCCCTATCTTGAAGCTTAACTCCACAGATTGCATGTAGACAGCTTTTATAGAAAACATCCAGCTGGCGTGTATATATATATATATATATATATATATATATATATATATATATATATGTATATATATATATATATGAAAGGTTCTTGACCTGAACCACTTTCTAAAATCTGACAAAATGGACTAATATCAAATTTTGATTGTGGTGGGGAGTAGTGCTTTTTGTTCAGCTTAGAATTTCTCAGCACTTTTTTATGTATATCTTGGTATCTCCACTAATTTGCTGAAAAAACAGCATAGTATCATGAAAAAAAGGTGCCAAACTTAATAAAAAGGAAGTTTTATCATTAAAATGTTTGATATTATTAAGAGGAAAGACTGAAGTATTTTTTCATTATTTTATTAAATTTTTCATCCTTTCTAGCACATTCAAAAGTTTGGTTAATAATCTTGTTTTTTGTGTGTGTGTGTCAGCAGTCAATGTAATATTTACAATTAGTGTTTCTTGATAAAAATATTTTTTTAGATATGTTACCCCACATTTAATTTCATGAAACTTTGAGAAATTAAATTTTAATCATAAAATTTGTTTTATTAATTAAAAGCTGGGCTCCTTGTAGAATGTAAATCTCAATTACTTTTTTTTTTTTTTCAAACAGCTACCCATTTCCCAAACATCTACTCCAGATTGTAAAATAAAAATGCAATAAAACTGACATTATTTAATTAAAAAAGTTTTTAATTGCTTTTATAAATAAGATTTATTAAGGACATTATTAATTATAATAATTTATATATAAATCTTTTACATGCATTAAATTAATTGCATTGGGTGATATTGTTATTAAGTGAAAACTTTATTTACTAATCAAAAATTGGAAAGCTTAATACAAATCATTTTGCACAAAGATTTTAAAATAATTAAAAATTTTTTTTTTTTTTTTTTTTTTTTTTTTTTTTTTGTGTATAACATTTCCATTTGGAAAGTATGGGCGTCCATACATAACCTTATCAGAAAATAAGAGCGATGTCTATAGTAAATTTAAATATTTTCCAACATTTTTAAGATTACCGAGTACTTAAAAATTAGATAAAAGGCACTTGCCCGGCATTTTCTTAAATTATGTTATAACAGATAAAGTCTCCATAGAACAACAATAAAGTTGTCAACACCTTTATCAGCACTTGTCAGTTACATAAACATGGCTACTGTTGATTAAAAACACAACTACTGTTTGTTTTAAAAATGCATTTCTGTGTTATTTTTAAGCTTAAAATAAGTAATATTTTTTTCAAATCAGATTAATTATACTCTAAATCGGCTAATATTCTTCAGATAAAGTTTCAGTAAGATATATTTTATTTGGGGGAGATTTTTTAAAAAAGAGAATTACATTGTGATAAAAGATGACGACAAAAGGGTGCTAATCAGCTATTTTAGAAATAAAAAATTCCTCCTTCCAGTCAATTTAAATTAGTTTTGGAAATACAGCAAAGTATTTTGCTTATTGGAACTATTAAATTTAATTTATTAGCTTCCAATTAAAACTAAAATAAAAGCTTCAAGATTTTTTCATTTTTTAAAATTCATTTTAAACCTTAGGTATCATGTTTTTTGTGGAGGTTCCTATATGTCCATATAATACAAATATCTTGTCATGCAAAGCATAAAAGATGAATGTAACTAAGATATATTTGTAGGTAAACAATGTTTGATTAACAAATTTGATCTTTCATTTGTTTCTCTGTCATTTTTTATTTTTTTATGCTTGTTTATACCTAGTAGTAGTAGTAGTAGTAGATATAATAGTCTTGTTAATTTTTTAAATGAAACCTTTACTTCTGACTAGTTTTTAGTCTATCTTATTTTTCTTGCTTTTTATCACAATGCTTAGTTTGTTTTTATAACTGAAATAGATAAGTAGATATTTATCTGTTTACCCATTCAAACCAAATGTGGCACAAAACCAAATTTAAAATAGGAGCCTACACATAAATTTTCTGTTTTCTTTTTATTATTTCACCCCAAACAAGGCAATAAAGCCACTAAGATGCAAGGGTTTACTGAGCATGAAAGAATATGAGTAAAGGAAAAACATAAGGGAAGGGGACAGGAATTAAGTAGACAGAAGATAGATATTGCATTTAAATTTTTGAAGATCAAAGTTGAGTAAAAAGCTAGCTGAAAGTGTGATAGAAGAAAATATCAGTGTAGAACTTAGGGTTACATCTAACCATTTCAACTATAAAAATGATGAATGAGGGAGTCCCCTCCCATTGGAGTGTTATTACTTAAGGGAACAGCCTACTGGAGCTTAAGCACATTATATTAAATTTTAAATCTCACTCCCTGATTAGATTATTAAGCATCATAGATTAGATTCTTATTTTTTATTTATAATCCCTGCTGCTCACTTGATTCATTTATGTGCTACGTCTATTCAGGACATGGTTCTCCATAACCTCCTGTCCTTTGTAGCTCAAAGAAATACTTTTCTTTTTATGCTTTATCCCAGCCTCTGTTCTGTTATCATTTACACAAACTCATTAGTTAGGCTACTTGGTGTTTCTCTCAGCCTCTTTTATTTTTAATATGTACTGTGAGTGTCAGATTTTCTAAGCTCTCTTTCATGTGTTTTATCTTTTTATTTAATTTAAAACTACCTTGTTGCTTATCTATGAAGAAATTGTCCAGCATTCTCTGCCAAAAATTGATAATGACAATACATTATTAAAGAAATTTCAACAGATTAAAATTAAAATTTTTTTTTTTTTTTTTTTTTCTTCTTCATCTTTTTAACTTTTGTAATAATGGGACATGTAATGAAGGAGGAGTGCTTGGAAAATCTGATACTCACAAGACAGAGACAGAGGAACACAGTGCATAACATACTTGATGGGTTTGAGAAAATGCATGATAGAACAGGGTGTAGGAGAAATAAAAAAAAAAAAACTTATTAACAGCTACAAGGGACAAGAAGGTCTGGGGGAGCCATGATCGCCTATTTCGTGAAGGGACACAGCACATAAAAGAAATGATGCAAAATTTGATTTTTCAAGGGAGATAACTTCAGATATATTAAATGTTATTCATCAAGTAGTTTCCCTTATTTATTTGCAAAATATTAATTCTATGAATACATAAAAATGACTTTCCAGATTTTAAACAGTTTAACATTATAAAATTAACAATTAATCAAGTTTTTATTTATCAGATACTGATTACCTACAAATGTTTTTCAGAATCACTTTCATCTTTTATTTATTTATTTATTTTTTTAATCATTTCACTCCAATCAAGGTAATAAAACCACTAAGACACAAGAAGTTACTAAGTGTGAGAGAATATGATAAAAATAAACATTAAAATAATTAAGGCAGAAGATAACTATTGATGTTGCATTTAAGTTTTAAAAAATCAAACTTCCTTGGGAAGTAAAAATCCAGAAAAAAGTTCCACAAGCAAAAAGAAGAAATTGTTAGAATAGAATTTATGGTTACATTTAGCAGCCATTTCAACTGTAAAAAGATGAAACCTTGCTGCTAATGTAGCTTAAATTCATAAAGTTTAGCTACTATAGAGGAAAGTTCATCTAAACAATTACCTTGAAAGTATTTATAGAAAAGGTATAGGGGATGCTACATTATGGTGGTAGGAAATTTGACTGAAGCTGAGATGCCAGGTTAGGACCAATAATATTTTTGATTCTTTTTTTGTATTTTATCAAGAATCTCTCTAAATTTATAGCAGGAGTACCATAGCAGATGTGGTAAAAATATTAAAAGCATCAATGAATGGTAAACTTATAAATATGTTGGATAGATTCTGGTGAGAAAAATTGTCTTGAGTAGCATGACATAGTGAACGAACTTTCTTAGTCGCTAACCTATTCAATATAATCTTACCATTTTGAATCAGCAGGAAACATTAGTCATAGAAGGCACAGTGAGTCACTCCTCTGAAGTTTTGCATCAGGAAGTAAATGTAAGCTATAGATGATGTTAAGTGATGCAATTTAATGCCTAATAAACAAAAGTTACTAATTTTATGAAATACTGACTTGTGCTCCAGATGTTTTAAAGAATTTCTTTTCTTAAAGGACATACTCCTTTCCCAAGCCAACATACATGATAATAAAAAAAATTTAATTTAAAGGAAACAGTTAATTCATGATCTTCAGTTATTAAAATAAGTATATAAGTATTTAATCAAATTAAAATAAAATAAAATAATAAATAATAATTCCATTAAAAAATAAATATAAATAAATCATTAAATTAAGGCATTGAATTATATCACTTAGCATCCTTCATAGTTTACCTTGAATTACACAGCCTTAAAAATATTTTAGAGCCTTCATAAATTTAAAGTTTTGAAAAGTTAACAATATTTTTTTCTCTATTCAAATTCTTTTTATAAATACATATTGCAAAATGAAATCCTTATATTTACCTTGATAAAGTTCCCATGCATTGGTAAAGAAAAGTTTGAAATGGTTCACCATTGTCAGTGATTGGCTGATATCCTTACTACAGCAAAAGTCACAGACAAAAAATACAAAGACATGTGGCATATTATATGAGAGCTGAAAAATTCTTGACCCAATACATTTTTTAAATCTGACCAAACATCAGTATTTTTTTTTTTTTTTTTTTTTTTTTAACAGCTTCTTGTTTTTTTGGTTTTTTTTAATCATATCACCAATACAAGGCAGTAAAGCCACTAAGACACAAAGGGTTACTGAGTGTGAAAAATTAAGAAAAAAGAGAAACTTTATTAAGAACAATAGGAAGAACAATAGAAGAATAATGAAGACATTAGTTGACAAATGACATTACACACTGAGAACTTTACAACATGTACGTGCACGCAATGTATGATAAATGGATTCATGTCTTCTCTTTAACAGAAGGAAAAGTCTTACCTAAAACTTCTTCAGCTTTATGAACTTTTTAATGGAAGTTATTTTTAAATATTTATTTCAGGAAGGTTTAAATGAAAACACAGATAACCAAAGTGAACTTCAGCAAAACAGAAATAAACCATTTGACGATGACTTATTGCTTGCTCAGTTGGCTGAGAAAATGAAAAAAATGAAATTGGATGATGTAGTTCTGGATCATCTTTATGTTGAAGGAATTGAAATGACCATTGCTGACTTAATATTGTTCATTTTTGTCTATCACTTTTTGGTAAGTAACTTCAATCTGTATTAATATTTTAAAGCTCTTCCAGATTCATATTTTTACGAAATGAATCCATAAAAAAACTGATTGGTCAGTTTTTTTCAAGAAAAACACAATATATATACACATAGATATGACCCTATCAGCACAAAAATAAAATTCCTTTATAATGGTTTCTGAAAGCCAGAAGTCATTGGATTATTTATGTTCAAATTTTCCCTGGAAATCAGAAAAATACTCCAAACTGAAAAAAAATTAAATAAAAGATTTTTAAACAAAAAACTTTTGTTGATATTCATCCAAACCAGCATAAAATAAAAACTGCTGTCCAAATACTTTCAATATTAAAGACTCAAAAATCCAGGCTGGTAGACAAGTTTTATTGTTTTAAAAAAAAAAAAATATATATATATATATATATATATTCTTTTCAAAGGGTCTTTGTTTTTTCTTTAACTTTCTTTTACTGTTACTCTTTTACACATTCTTTTCTCCTTCCTCTTTTCCCAGTTCTTTTCTCTCTAATATTATTATGCAATTTTCAAAAAGCACAAATGATTCTCAATGAGAAGAGCTAGGTGGTAAGGCAGATACTACGCTCTGATCTTAGATAGAAAATTGTAATAGTTGAACACAAATAAGCTGAAAAATAATATAGACATGTTCTATGTTTTTTCATTAAATAAATATTTAATTTTGCTTATGTTTTTCTATTTTTCTGTTGATTTTAGGAATCAGTTGATCTCCAACTTGGTTTGCTAATCACCCATCTTCCTAAACTGGGAGCTTGGTTTCAACATATGTCTAATATGCCTAGAATGCAAGTAGCTGCTTCGGAATATGGCTGCAATCTTGATGACTTGTGTTTAACTTTGGAGAATGACAATCATTCATCTTTACTAATCAATAATTTTGCTTTGTCAGAAATTGCAGAAGACGATAATAAGGAATCTGAATTACAGTAAGTAATATTAATCAACCAGTAAAAGCACCTGTCCGATTAAATTAAATGAATTAACAGAAGCACCTGTTCAATTAAATTAAATGAATTAACAGAAGCACCTGTTCAATTAAATGAAATTAATTAACTAGCAGAAGCACCCATCTAATTAAATGAACTGAATTAACTAGCAGAAGCATCTGTCTAAACAGAATAATAGTTCAAGACTAGTTATAATATAAATGTTTTCATACATTTGATGATGAACTGGTCTGCTTATTGAAATAAAGCATAATTTAATTTGTATATAACTTATATCTCGTGTAAAAACAGATGAAATATATAACTAAGAAATGTCTTGTTTATAATCTTTTTTTTGTCATATAAAAATATTTTATTGGTCAATAACACCTAGTAGTAAAATGATATATAAAATGGATTTCCTTTGTTTATGGTAAATATCCATTAAGAAATACAAGAAAAGAAAATATAGAAATTTGGGGGGGGAGAAATGATCTGAAAAGAAAAAATATATTTGTGAGAAAATTTGTTCAGTAAAATTGTTTTTTACAAGTACATAAATGTTTTTCTCAAAATATTTCTGTTCAGTCTATGTGGTAAGTAATGGCTGGCTGTTTGTATCCAAGTATGCCTGCCTATTCAGGTGGCCAGCTGATCCCTGTTGCAGACGCCTGCACAGACACATTTGTGTTTATTCAACACCCACAGAGCCCACCTGTGCTTTATACTGTAACTATGAGGAGTGGACCTTATTTACAGTTTTGAGGGAGGGAGAACACATTATCTGGCATGATCAACATTCTGAAGAAGGCCAGGATGCTCATATACTCGGTCACAATGACTTGTGACCTCATGTTAGCACAAACATTGATGGCTCCCAAACATTTCTGTCTACCCAGTTTCACTCACAAGTCTATGAGATACATTAAATTTAGCCCACCTTAAAGAGGGAATATTGTGAAAATTTGGACTTGGTGTAAAAATAAAAATAAAATATTTATTCTAAAATGTTAAAATTGTATTTGTAAAATTTGCATTTTTAAATTAAATGACAGTGGTTGATACTTATGGGATTATAGCTTTGAAGTTATCAGTTTAATCTATAAGCCTAGCAAAATATGGCTGATTTCCTTTATTATAAAAGTAGTATAAATTTAGCATTCATTGAAAATCTATTGCACATGCAAAACATTGGAATTTGATTAAACTCGTGTAATTTCTATATTCCTATTTCTATAACCTGATAATTTTTTAAAAGCATCAATGGTATTTCTAGCCAAGGCTTTTGTATTCATTTTATATAAATGCTCTTGGAAAATAAATCCATCCTCTCTAACTTACTGCTAGAGATAAAATAATAGATCAGATTGGTCCTTTTAGTTTTGGTAAAACACCCAGTCTAGGAGAACAAAAATTCTGCACACTAAACCATTGAACAGCAACACTATTTTCCCCAAGATCAGTCATGGCTATTCACGATTGACAGAGATTAAAGAAAAAAACTGTTGTGGAGAGCTGTTATCACCTATAAATGGATATGGTTTTAAAAAATTATAAAATTTAACTACCTCAAATTTAGTGCTTATTGCATATTTGTATTATTTATAATGCTATTAAATCAGGAGAAACTAAGCTTTCTCAGTTTTCAACTTATAAATTTAGTTATAGATGAAGTTGAAAAAAAAACTATATAAATATTATATGTACAAAATTTTAAACTGAAATGATACTACTCACATAAATCACAGAATGTATACCTGCTGACACTTATGGCTATTTTAGTTAGGAATGTCAACCACAAGAAAGTGTTGAAATGTTTTCAACCTGACCCTCTTCCCCAAATCTTGTAGTCAAACTAAGAAATTTTCAGCAGCCCCTCACATTGTCACATTACTAAGTGTAACTTATGTCATCAAGTGCTATGTTGTTATATTAAGAATATATTAAAAAGTAATATAACAAGAGAATTAAATCCTGAATCTGATTGATCCTTCAGGAAAGTAACTCACTGAAACATCTTAGGCTAACATTCACAGCTGACATGAAGTGGAAAGACTATTGAATCCATTACTAACTAGGTCAGCTGCTAAGAAAGTTGGTTCACTGTGCCATCCTAGACAAACTTTTTCTCTCCAGAATCTATTTTACATATCTATAAGTCTACCATTTGTTCATGCTTAAAATATTGCTGCCACATATGGCCTGCTGTTCCTGTTTAGAGATTCTTGATAAAATCCAAAGAAGAATTAGTAATATTTTTGGTTTTGACCTGTTATCTCAGCTTCAGTCACTTTCCCACTGCCATAAAGTTGCCTCCCTGTGCCTTTTCTATAAATGCTTTCATGGTAATTGTTTGGATTATCTCTTTGCTGTGGTACCTAGACTTTATGAATATAAGCACAGTACTAGATTGGCAAAGAGGGCTCATCAATAATTAGTTGAATTGGCTAGTTTGATGCTAACAGTTTCTTTTCTCACACTTCTTGCTTGTGGAACTCTCTTCTGGCTCCATGCTTTCCAGTCATCTTTTCTCTTCAAAAATTTAAATGCCATGTCAATTGCTATCTATTGTCTTCCTGATTACTTTTCTATTTTTCTTGCTTCTCAGTAATGTTTTTGTTTTCTAGTTCTTTCTCACCCAGTAACTCCTTGTGTCTTAGTGGTTTTACTACCTTGCTTGAGTGTGTGTGTGGGGGGGGGAAGTAGCAGTAGATTCCACTCCTGGTTTTAAATTTATAATTGCTTTTCAGTTTGTATTTTTATTTTACTTGTAGCTGGGGGGGGAATAGATGGATTCATGCCTTTACCAAAAGCATTAATGCAAATTGGACACAAACTCTCTCAAGCTAGAATTTGAATTCAGTTTGCTGATTCCATTTTTTGTACTGTTAGACATTAAGTAATGCATATATTCAATAAGAGAACTAAATAAGGGTGATATCTAAATTTCTTGATATTTTTTTTTTTTTTTTTTTTTTTTTTCCATCTATTAAAAAAACTTTACTACATTTGTAAAATTATTTTATTTCTTAGACGCCGAACCCGTAGTAAATACAGAGCATTGAAGCCGGAGTTGGCTAAAGTATTAAAATTGATAAAGGTAAAATATTTTTGTGATTTCTCTACACTGTTGACACTATATTTTTGCTTTTAGTGCATAAGTTACATGAAATAAATCATGGAATATTGATTTACTGTCAAATTGATGATTTATAAGATCATTTGGCTTTCCATGGAGTTGTATTGCTGAGCAGGAGGGCCATGAATAGAAATTTGCAGGAGTCAGTTGAGAATTTCAATTTAGTTTATGATGGACAGAAGACATAACACATAAATGTCATTTGTTAAAGACACCTTCACATTTCTTCACCAAATGTTGACAACGAAAATATAATTTCCTGGCTTTGTTCATTAAAGCAAAATGGGTTTTTACAATTAGATTCTAATAGTAATGATATAATATATGGTATATATATATATATATATATGTACCTTTTCTATAAATATTTTCATGGTAATTGCTCTGATGAGCTTTCCTCTGGTATCTATATATAAATTTAAGTGCAATATTAAATTCACAGCAAGGTCTCATCATTTTACAGTTGAAATGTCTAGATGAAACTGTAAGTTTTATAAGTTTCTTTGCTTGCACTTCTTACTTGTTGAATTCTCTACCTGCCTTTAGCTTTCCAGTCAACTTTGATCTTCAAAAATTTAAATCTGTGTCTTTGAATCCTGTTATTATAGCATCCTCTTGCTTTAATGAAGATTTTTCTAAGATTATTTCACTCCTTGTCTTAGTGACTTTATCACCTTATTTAGAGTGAGATGATTAAAATAAAATTCTTTAACTTTCAGTTATACATTAAGAAAAATTTATTGCTATGAAGAGCAAAATTTAATTTTGTAACCATTGTTGTTATAATCTGTTAAAACACTATATATATTTGAAAAATCAAATTATATTCTTTAAGATGATAGAATATTTTTTACCTTGTTTACACTACGGAAGTGTACATTGATGTTTTGAAAAGTACTATATTATATGTTACCATTTTAATGTTGCTTTAAAAGTAAAATTAACTTAGTATATCTATATGATAATTGCAAATGTCAGTGTGTCACTGTGTTACAGATTTTCAACTTTACTCCTGGATGCCATAGCCCAACATATGCCATTTTTGGAATCAGGCCAACTCTGTGAGCAAATTAAAAACATTCCAAGCTGGATCTGAACCCATAATTCTGAAATTTGGGGTTCCCAAATTTTCATTACTGTGATTGTTTCCTGTAATTTTTTTTTTTTTTTTTTTTTTTTTGCAAATAAATTTTTTTGTACAATAACAATTTTTATAACTTGGGAATAAATTTGGGAACAATCAAAATTAATTGTGAAATCCAGCTAAAGTCACCCATAAAATATAAATAATTGTTTGTACAGAAAGTAAGGATCAATGTACATCAAATTGTCTTTAAATCAAGTGGTGGCAGAAGAATTATCAGTGAACTTTTAAAATATAAGCTTAAATATTAATTCAATAATGCAGCAATCAATTTTGAGTTCTTCTGTAGTTTATTGTTGCCTATCGCATCTACTTCTCCCTACCTATTGTGATGAAGGCCCAATCAAGAGCCCTCCACAGGAGATAGCTTAAATGTTGTCTTATAGTGTAGCTTTAAGCTAGTCTGAAATATTTGCAGCTTGAAAAGGCTGACTTCTTGGATAATTAAATGTGTTTTGTACTGTTCCATAGCAACATGAATACACAACAAATACAGCTTCACTGTTAACATGTTTGAGAGAATTAAATTATTGCTACCAAAATACACCTTTATTTATTTATATATATATATATATATACACACACACACACACACACACACACACACGGTGAGATGGATAAATTGTCATCTAAATTATGCAAAAATGAAAATAACACTGACATCTCATTTTAACAGATATATTTACCAAAATTACATAAAAATATTTTGAAATACTAAAGCGCAAATTTATTCAATAAAATTGCTATTGTAACTTCAACCACAGCCTCCTGATGACTTCAGAATTTCCAGCAACTCTTTTAGATGATAACTTTGTTTAAGTTCGTGAATGCTGCCATAATCCTTTCCTTCAGGTCATCTTTAGTGTTACAAGGAGTTTTGCTGGTCTCTTGTTCAACAGCACCCCACACACATTAATCAAGGCGGTTGCAGTCTGGGGAGTTAGGTGGCCAGATGTAAGGGGTAATGTGGTCACAGTAATTGTCTGAGAGCCATGACTGGGTTCTCCTTTTTGTGTGGCATGGTGCAGAATCCTGTTGGTGAATATAGGTTCTACCAGTAGCCACTCTTTTCACCCAGGACAGCACTACTTCCTCAAAGCACGATGTAGATCTCCATGTTAAGTCTGAGGCACTGTGGGAAGGTGAATGGAGGTATAACATCACCATCACTAGTCACTCCAAACACTTTCATAATCACTATTAGACTCCTCCAACTCTTTCTGAATGCTCTGCACTGTCCTCAGATTGATACCCAAACACTCTGAAATGTTTTTATTGGAGCTTCTGATGTAAATGCTGAGCAGTACAGCTGTTTCCAAATTTCTGGTGGAGTGAATTGCATCATGGTGCTCTTTTTTCTAACAGATCCTACTATTCTGTGCAGTTGACAAAATCAAAAACAAACAACATGCATGCACGAAATTACCCATTGCACACTGGATATATATTCTCTCTTCTTAATAATGTTTTCATTTTTCTTACATTATCTCAAACTGAATAACCCTTCAATCTTAGTGGCTTTATTGCCTTTGCTTGGAGTGAAATGATTAAAAAAATTGCTCAGTGTCTAAATGAATAAATTTTATGTCTGTATGCTGAAGACCTTTTTCTCATCCATTTTCTTCTCTTTATCATTATTTTCTTAGGGCAACCATTTTTTTTTCTGATTTTTGTTTCATGTGCTTATGATATAAAAAGTAATTTTTATTACACTGTATTAATGTTTCAAAAATTCTAGTTTTTTTATTCTTAAAAGTTAATCTATTTAAAAAATAGTGGATACATCTTTCAAATATTAATGTAAAACATATTTTAATATAAAATATATAGTTTTTTTTCTTTTTTATAAAAGTTCACCCAATACAGGGTCCAAGAACCACTGAAGATAGATGATTACTGTGTGGTGATGTATTAGCATAAGCAAAGGGAAGAAGCCAAGTTCCTGAGGCTATGCAAGAAAGATAGCTAAATTGAAGGTCAAAATTTAATTAGTGAATAAAATTTCAGAGTTCAGTGTGAAGACCTTAGAAGTACAGAGTTGAAGTAGACTTTAGAAAGAACCGGAAACCCAATCCTAAATCGGGAACATGTGATAAACATCTACTCCTGTTCAAACTGAGTATGAGTATGAACTGGATGATAATTTTGCAGATATTTCTGTTAGAGCAAAAATGCATGCATTTATGCTTTTTCACTTGCATGGAAAATAATTAATCTCATCCTTCATATATTTATGTTTTTGTAATAATAATGATAATAATACAACTGAAAATTACATGAATTTTAACCTATTTTTCCAACCTTGCAGAACTTCTGCCAAAAAGATAGATAAGTAGAGCTATAATATTCAATAAATCAAGAAAAGTTAAAGTGACTTATCTGGTTAGGTAACTCAAGAATTTCACTTCAAAACACCGTTCCAGAGGACACAGGTTCAATCTCTGCCACAGGGCACATGTTGGATTCAAAAGATTTTTCAAATGTGCAGACCAATAAATGTTTAAAACAAAAATAAAAAATGAGGTGACTATTTCAAATACAAGTATTCATTATAATAATGTCTGAAGTAATAAAAACATTGGTTTAAAAATAAATGCATTCAATGTTATACTTTCTTTTTCTTTTTTTTTCTTAAGAATTATTTAATATTTTTTTCAGACAGCTGATATCCAGCCAAAAGGTGGAGAACATCCTTGTGGGACAAATATAGAATTGCCTTGGTCTACATTACCAGCTGCAGTTCACCCTCAGGAAGGTGTGTCCTTTTTGTTTTTATTTACTACATAATTTGAATAGAACACTTTGAGACTGAATGAATTGATATATCAACTATTTAATAACAATAATAATAATATTGATATCTTTGACATTTACCAGAGACACAGCAGGATATAAAATTGTTGCTAATTAGTAGATACTTAAGTTTGTTACAAGTCTAAGAAAATTTTGTAAAGTGGTTCTCTTTGCTTAACCTGTAGAGTTAATTGCTCTTTAGTATTTCATTTGTGAATATAGATGAGATTGTTTGAAATCAAATAGAATTCATTAATTAATCTTATCATTTGTTACTGTAAATTCATTTGTGCTGACTGATGATTAGAAATGTTAAATTGATTGAATTCATTTCATTGGAAAAGATTATTAGTTAGAATCTAATATATATAAATTCTCAGTTAATATCAAACATATATATATATATATATATATATATATATATATATATATATATATACTTTGACTCTTCAAGTTAATATAATCTCTTTTTTTTTTTATAAAAAGATTTTCTTTTTTCACTTCTAAATATTCAAATATATTTTCATTGAAGTGCTAAGATATCTTACCAAATTCTGAAAAACTTGTAACAAAACTAAATTTTTTTTATTCTATTTTGTTAATAACTTGTCAAGTATTGGACGCATTTAACGAATAACTCTCTCAATCCCTCCTAAAACATTTTCTTTATTTCATCTGTTATTAATCACATGCTTATAATTTGATTAGATTTTTATTTTTGGTTCTATTTTGTTACTAACTCGTGAAGTATTAGACACATTTAATGAATAACTCTCTCAACCTCAAACCTTTTCTTCATTTCATCTTGTATTAGCCATATGCTTATGATTTTTTAACAATATAGATTTTTCTCTTTAAATTTTAGGTGGTCTTCCAGCAAAACGAGCTTTGAAAAAATGTCAGCAGCTTGAAAATATTGTTACAGCTGTGAAAGAAATTGTTACCAAGGGACAAATAATTGTAGACTTTTGTAGTGGTGGGGTAAGAATTTATCTTACATTTTTAAATAGTAAAACTAACAAAATTTATTTAATTCTGAAAACTCAAGTAGTATATAATTGAAATCTGCATGGTTGCCATGAGTTGTCATGGTCAGCAATATCTAACAAATTTATTCAAACACTTAATGAATAATTTCTGCTCTTCCTTAAACAATATCATGATGAATATTCCAAAGTATCAGAAATTGAGATAAGATATTGTTATAAGCATATAATAGATATTTATTTAAAAGTGTATTTTTTCTGAAGAAATGTATGTATGCAGTTATAATGTATATAATTTTATGTTACTCATGTCTATGGGCATTTACATGTATTTTAAAATATAGGAAATTATATATAACATTTAATGCAAATACTATTTTATGGATTTATTTTTAATCAAACATTTTATTACTTCAAATATTATTATAGTGAATACTCTGTATTTGAAACACACATCATTTCATTTTTTTTTTTAATAAACTGTGTATTATGTCTATCGGCTTTTTTTTTTAACTTTAAAAATTTTAACAAACACATAACACAAAAATATCTTGAAATACAAAAGTCAGAGGAAGATTTCTTCATAGCTGGTCTTCTGTAGATACATGTAAACTTTGCATTTTAAATCTATTTTGTTTGATACAAATATCTATGTGTGCATGTTTAATTTTAATGTAATTAAAATATTGTTCAATATACTTGTATTATTTTGAATTATTTTCATCTTTGTTGATATAGATGTTATTATTCATGCAATGTTTCGACCAAGTACCCTCTGGTCATCATCAGGTCTCCATTGATTGGCTGATATGTGATATCTGTTGATTATTGTGATTATTATTAGTCTCATCTTGGTTGGTATAGATGTTATTATAGATAAATTCAATCTTGATTCAGACAATAATTGACATCACATGGACAAAATATCACTCATATCAACAGGTATCCTATCTCAGCCAATCAATGGACACCTGATGATGATCAAAGGGTATTTGCCTGAAATGATGTATCTGTAATATCAACCAAGATGAGAGCAATAGTTTGATTTAATACAAGAATATCGGCAATTACTCATCTCTGAAATTAAATACTAAATTAAGATATAGCTGTTATCTGATCATGTATTTGCAAGATCTTAAAAACATAATTAATAATAATTATTCTGGTCTTAAAAGAATATTGAGTATCTACCATTTACATGTTTATATCTATTAAATTGAATTTTGTGAATTAACTATATCAATTCTTTTACTTTCTTTCCTCTTTTTAATGATTTTTATCAATTGTACTTTATTTTTAATTAGTTAAATTGGATTAAACAGTTGGGCAGACTGGTCTCTTTGGATTAGCGATCAGTCTAGAAGGAAAATACTGAATATCCAAACTTTTTGGGTAGATGTAAAATTTGTCAGTGATGGCTGTACTTGTATAACAGGTCAAAAGTTGTATATACAGGACCTTATATAAAACAATTTATCAAATCCATTAGTCATACAAAGAAATAAATTCAACCACAACTTTGATCTATCAAATGTTACACTTATTAAAAGAGAAAGTAACTTCTCAAGAATACCACTATCGAATCTTACCAAAACATAAATCTGCACAATTTACTTATTTTTGTTTAGTTAAATTTGTTAAATATTTTATAGTTTGGGATTATTAAAATTCCAGTACCTTATTTTTTTCTTTTTATCTAGGGACATCTTGGAATTACTTTGGCTAGCCTTATTCCATACTGTCAGGTAAGTTGCATTTTTATAAAATTATTTAGCATTTTGTATCATAATAATTATACTAGAAATGGGTTGACAAAAAGGTTGTTTTTCTCATTAGATAGCATTAGTAATGTTTAATTTTAACAAAGTTTGTACAGGATCCACCAAGAAAATGGAACCAACATATATAAAGAAAACCCAAATATATATATATTGTTAAATATAACAGACAACGAATGTCTATTGTGTTTGATCATGAGCTGTTCCAAGCTTTGTACAGTGGCTTTCGCTTTGGGAGAAAATAAAGACAAAAACTGTACAACATATGTTTTTGTTATTTTGTTGTTCATTGATCTAAGCTTTTCGCTCACATGAGCTATCATCAAAGTGGTTATATGAACTCTGATGAATAAGTAGGCAGAATGTCAAAATTATTCAATGAAACCTGTCTTTATATAAATATATATAAGTATAATTCAGTGTATGTATGTTATATATATATATATATATATATATACATATGTATATTTATATACTGAAATATGTCTACTCCTTCCTATCTACTATATATATATATATTTATATATATATATATATATATATATATATATATATATATATATATATTACATGGAATAGAAATCCAGATTTACATCATTTGAATAGCTATTTCTACCAACAAGACATGTTGGCTTTGTCAACTCAGAAGTGTGAAGAAATAGGAGCTTCAAATTTAAACATTTAAAAATTAATAATAGAAGAGAAAAAAAAAGGGAAAAAGAAAGAGAGGAAGTGGGAGATTGCTGATGAAAATATAGACATTATTAAACTTCCCAATATCATGGGAAGTGGAAGTGTCTAATTCAAAGAGACAATTAAAATAACCTTGACCTATATTTTAAAATATTAACATCCCTAGTCAGGTTGAAACAGAATCACAAAATTAGACACAAGTTCAAACAATTCCAAAAATTAAAATTAGTAAATATTAATTCTAAATCAAAGAACAAAAAATATATTTTCTCCTTTTTTTTTTTTTTTTTTTTTTTTTTTTAAAAAATATTTCCCAATCTATGCTAGCAAAAAATAATAATAATCATAAATAGATAGTTTATATAAAGAAAAATTACTTTAAAGTATTTAAAATTTAAGAAGAGTTTTTAAAGAAATATATTAAGAAAATGTATGCAAAACATTAACATCTAAAATTTTTAAAAAAAATGTAACAAAAATAATAATAAATAAAATAATAATAATAAAAAAATATATATATAATAATAATAATTAAAAGAGTACTAAGAAGAAAAGAAAAGGTAATAATTATAATAATTTTTAAAAGAGCAAGATGATAAAAAGTATAAGAAAAGTAATTAAGGTAAAAAATAATAAAAATAAAAATAATAAAAATATTGATAATAACATTTATGAAGATAAAATATAATAAGGAAAGGAATAGAAAAAAATTTTAAACATATACAATTTTAAAAAAACTATAAATTACCATTTTAAAAAAAAAAAAAAATGTAAGTTGTTGGAAGTTAGGATAGGATTGAAATGGAGTAGAAATAATGATATATGTATTAGATGATAACAGACTAAGCAGGATCAATAATATTTTAGATCAGTTTAAACCTACTCCTGTGATGGCATTTGGAAGCTAACTCATTCATGTGGTATTTAGTATACTTTGATTATCGAATTTAATTATTCTAATCTTCTCTTCTAAATACAGGTTATATCTACCCTTAAAATTATTAGGAGTGTGAGCAAAATCTATGATTTTCCAGTCAATCTGAGGGTTCAGGTCTTTCTCCCTCAATTCCCAAAATTTTTTGGAAAGAGCAGTTTGGTATTTTAAATTTCAACTGGAAAAAGAGTGCCTATGTGTGTAAAGTCTTTGTTTCCATTCCCCTGTGGAAATTCCAATGTAAATATTGTGGTTTAACTTATTTTCTTTTGGGTAAATAGTTGCTTGGTAAATAACCGAAGATCTACATTTTCCTTCAACTAGACAATGTTCACTAATTCTACAATTACAGGGATGGGGGTCCATACCAGGTTTATTGTTGATCCTATAAAATTTACTTAGAATGTAAATCTTATGGGAATTTATAATTTCATACATGTTATTTGTGCAGGAATAGCTTATTTTGATATTTTTCCTATTGAAGTTCTTACTTAAAGGGTTATTTTTTGAAAATGTTTATTTATTAACTTCAGAAAAACTTGTCCGTTATTAGTGTTGGATAATTTATGGAAGGTGGGGTTGAACCATATGATTTTCCTTTTTCTATTTTTGTTTTTACAACCCATGTTATCTACTTCTGTGTTACTCATCGTGTTTAAGTAGGATAGTTTATTTTTAATGCCACTTTTTTAGAGAGCATTATCATTATATATATATATATATATATATATATATATATATATATATATATATATATATATAAATAAATCTGGAAGTTATAGAAACTAAATGGTGAGGTTTTTTGAATAAATTATCATTTTGAATAAATATATATATATATATATATATATATATATATACACACACACACATGTATAATTCAGTATGTGTGTGTGCATTATAATTCAGTAATGTATAATTCGATGTGTGCATGTATAATTCACTACACACACACACACACACACACACACACACACCACACGTGTGTGTGTGTGTGTATTCAATATATATATATATATGTGTGTGTGTGTGTCTCTATGTATAATGCAGTATATATATATATATATATGTGTGTATGTATAATGATGTGTATGTATTAATTCCATATATGTGTGTATATGCATAACTCACTATATATATGTGTGTGTATAGTGTAATGTGTGTTTATTTAATTTTAAAATATTAAAACAAGGTAATTATTAACAACAAAACAAAATGTCCTTAGCAACTGGAAGAATTTAGAAAACGCTATTGTATACATATTGTCAACTGAAAATTGCATCAAGTACTGTTATGTGCGGAAATATTATTGTTGTGTTGACAGATTCAAACATTTTCTTTTGATTTCTTGATACAGTTGTGTATATTTGCTTGGAAAAGTAGTAATTCTGTTAGGAAAGGTGATATAGGGAAAAGGTGATATAGGGAAAAGGCCTGGGTGTAGATAAATATTTGGATAATATTCAATGGCGGCACTCTTGAGGATTTTCGTTCTGAGTGAGTTATTTACTTTTTTATGAGTGTAGCATTTTTAAACTAAAACTTGTGGCTGAATTTATTTCTATGTATGCATTAGTTGTTTTTTGTGAGGTCTCTTTTGTGCTTTTGTTTTTTAATTTCTACTTGTTTCTCCAATATAGTTTTGGCAATTTATTTTATAAATGCCTGCTTCAGAAATATTATTGCTATTAGTGTTTGAGGATTTGAGTATATCCATAATGGTTTTGGGAGTGTGTGTGACTATTTTAAGATTATTTAGATGGGATAGGTTGTTCTGAATAGTGGACATGACAGAGTTGGTTGGTAGTAATATGCCTCTGTTTTCATAAAATTTATTATTGCGGATTATTTTATTATTTTTGTTTTGCTTGTATATTTTGTATGCCATTCTTCTTGTGTTGTGGATGAAATGATATGGGTATTGTAGTTTTTGAATGTGTTTACTATGTATATTTCTTCCTTGGGTAAATATTGGGGACTGCAGATTCTTGATGCTCTTAGATACTCAGATTCTGTTTTACCTTTATAAATGTTGTCTTTTTCTACAGGTTTTTAAACAATAAAACATTAAAAAATTAAAATTTTCAGACACTGGGTTTTATGTTAATGTTTTTTGTTTTAATATTTCAATTAATTTCCTCGACTACAGAAGAAAAAAAATTCCCTACTTGTTAGTGGCAGTGAGCTACAGGGGTGAATGAATGTCTCTGAAGAAAGTGAACTTTATCTGTAGTTTTCATTTGTTTTTTTGTCATTAATTTTGGTCAGTCCTTGTGTTGATTAAATGGCCTCTTTCAAGTTGTTTTTAAGATACAAGGCTGGGAGATTTCTTGACTCTCAGAATTCTCTTTTATTGGTTGCTGGGAATGGGATGTGATTTATTTGTGTGTGTGTGTGTGTTTTAAGTGTATGTTATCTTTTAGTTTTTTGGGTGTGTGTGATGTGTGTATGTGTATATATTTGCGAGTGTGTGTATAAGCGTGAGACCTCAGCCACTTTTTTATTTTTTAATGTTTGCAAGTGAGAAATGTGGATAGGGCTTGATTTATGGGGGTTATATATTAATTCTGTGTTGTTAAATTTATCTTTAAGTCCATCTGGAAGAAGTGTTTCGATGTGTAAAATCCATTTGTCTTCATGTTCCTCGAGTATTTTTCTAAGATTATCTTTTCTGTCTATTTCTATTTTTTCAGTTATAGTGAATTTTGCATGGCTTTTAAAATCATGTTTTTCTAGGCAGAAATGTTGTTCTACAGGTAATAATCTTTCATGGGGAACTGACTTATTCTGATAATTATTAATTTTGTGGCAAAAAGGCCATTCAGATTTTTGCACATTGTTTCTGGCATAGTGTGTATTCTAATAAGTAAATTATGTTATGACTTCTACAGATATGAAAAAATAATTTAAGTAATTCTATTACATTTACTTGATTTAAAAAGAAATGTAGTCTATTAGTAATTAAGAGTAAAAATATTTTAAAATTGTAGTTAAATATAATGTATTTAGAAAGAATCTTTAAGTATACAAGTATGAAAAAAATGCCCAAAAACTTTGTCGTTAAAAAAAAAAAAAGAAAATAAAACCTAGATGACATGCGTTTAATGAATGTCAGAATTCGTTGAAAAATACACCCCTACCCTCACTAAACTTAAACTCCTTTTCGAATGTAACTGATAATTGATACAACAATAGTTAATAAAAATGAACACGCTACCGCCCCTGTCTGAATGATTGGATTTCTCTGTGTCCCTGGAAACAGGAAATTATGAATTTATATGTGCATTTAAAACTCAGTAAATTTAAAAATAAGTTATTCCAAAATTCACTTGATAATGAAACAGAATTAATGCTTTTAATTTAATTTGAAGTTTTTAGCTTCAGGTTTTGAAACTTGGTTATTAATGTGTAGCAAAGAAACCATATTTTAAATCAGTTAATTTATAATATTTATGCTCTGTAAATTTACATTGAGCACCGTTTTGTAAAAATAAAAAATATCAATAAGAACACCAGATTATATATCTTATTGTTCTTTCTTTTTATTTTTTATTTATATATATATATATATATATATATATATATATATATATATATATATATATATTTTCTGTTTATACATTATTTTTATGAATACACTTATTTAAGTAAATCCTCTGTTATTTAATTCAAAAGTATAAATTACATTTACCAGCTTGAATGTTCCATAAATTTTGTAGAAAATATCTGTTCTTCAGAAGGAATTGAAACTGTATCCTATGAGGAACCAACTTTGTCTGGCATGCTATAACTCTTCAGCTACAGAGAACTTCCAGTTAAGCAAATCTCAAATTAATGCTTTTAAACACACACACACAACCATTATATATATATATATATATATATATATATATATATAATGTATATACACACACACACACACACGTTTTATATATATATATTAATTTGTTCCACTTAGTGAAATAGATAAAAGTTTATTTAATAAACTTCACACCGTATGAAATGGACAAAGTCTGACAATTATTTTAAGACATTTTTATGTTTATACATTCTTTATATAGATACAAATATTTAAGTAAATGCTGTTTTATAATAAACTGTATTAATAACATTTACCAGCCTGATATGAGCAGATATGAATGTATGTGAGAGATTCATGGAAGATTGAAGTTTAAAAACAGTAAAATCGTCCTTACTAATCAAACAATTCTCCATGGCTCAATCGCTTAATGCACGTCAGCCTAAATGATGGTTCCGAATAGGATACAGGTTCAATTCCTGTCGGAGAATGAATATTTTTTATGAAAATTTCTTGAACATTCAGGCCAGTAAATGTTATAAATACTGTTTATTATAAAACAGAGCATTTACTTAAATATTTGTATCTATAAAAAGAATGTATAAACATAAAAATGTCTTAAATTAATAAACTTCCCTCACATCTATGGACAGCCTTGAAGCACCTCCTTAACAATGGTGACCAGTTATTGGAATTTTGAGGCTGCTGCTTGGTCTCTTCTCAACAACACCCCAGATGTAGTAATCACTGGAAATCATATCAAATGCTAGGAATCCACTTTTTTGGGGTGAAATGTTCTTAAAAAGTTTTGGCTCACCATTTCTGAGCTATAATCTTGGACTTGATGATCATGTCTAGCATTTCAATATAGACTGTGGTATTGATCCTGAGGTGGCATGCTATCACCCTCATTTTTCACAATCCCAGATGATGTTAGCAATGTGTACATCACCTTGTGGTCCTCACAGAGCTACTTGTCTTTCCTCTTATTCACTTGACCCCTTTTTAAGAAACTATTTCCAAGCTGTTTTTTGGGTCCTGGCTAGTTTGACAAGGATTAGGCCAGGTTGATGTTGATTTTTCACTTTTTTGTTTAGAAAATCAACATTGCAGATTCATTTTTTATCTATAGCTTTCATATGCTATATGTAGACTTCTAACTGGGTTATTTGAACATAATACAGGGTAACTTCAGTTCACAAATTTAATTCATTCCTAAAGGCCATTCGTAACCTGAAATGTTCATAAACCAAAACTATTTTTCCAATAGGAATAAATATAGAGAAAAAGTCACAGTATAATAAAATTGGAAAAGAAAAGTATGGCACAACACATGAATGTATACAACACAGTGGTCAACTCAGAAACCATTGTGTTCGTGTTAATTCTGTTTGGTTATGTTGTTTAAGAACCGAAATTTTGTTCAATAACCAAGGCACTTTCATCTCAAATTTTCTGTTCAAAAACCAATTTGTTCAACATGTAAGAATTGAGGTTACACTGTATATTTTTAGTTTTTTCGCCAATAATCTTCATCTATAGGTTGGCTGTATTAAAAATTTGACATGTTTAGACAAAACAAGATAATAATTCTTTAAACATTACTGAAAATATTATACTTATTTAAATGTTTCTTTTAAATCTATTTCCATAACTACATAACTTGTTTTAATAAGTTTGATGAAAAGATTTTATGATAAAAACATTTACTGAATATTACCATTTTTTTTTTTTTTTTTTTTTTTTTTTCTTCTTCTTTTTTTCATAGGTTTATTTAATTGAAAACAAGGAAGAATCACTACACATTGCAAAATCCAGAGTTGATAAATTAGGACTGAAGAATATCACATTGTATCAGGCAGGTGCAATATATACATATATATATAAATATATCTTGTCTAAATTACGTCTGCATGTGTGTGTTCTTACAAACAAGAGCATGATAAATTTGTAGATAGTGAACTGTAAATAATTCACATAGATATATGTACATTCTTCCCCCTGTGCACACACACACGTGTGTGTGTGTGTCTTTGTGTTTGCATATGTGTGTGTACATACATCTATATCTGTGTGTGTGTGTATGTATGTGTGTGTGTATGTATATATATATATATATATATATGAAGAAATATAGTTTTAAGGTGTGCTATATTTACGGTTTAAAGTGCTCAATATCAGAGATAAAGCATATATAAATATAAAAGTGAACATTGAAGTCAACATTCAGAGGCGACAGGCTGTTTCATGCTAAATGCAATCATCAGGCTGCAAGTATTGGGTTTTTCCTCGACTATATAGGTCAGTGGTGCGTTGGGTAATCCATTGTGGTGGTTATTTACACAGGAGTGGCTTATTTATTTATTTGGGTTAATTTATTTTACTTGTTTTTTATTTTCATTTTTTTATGTATTTATTCTTTTCAGTTTTCTATGTTTTATTAACGTGGTAAAAAAAATTTTAGGGGGATTTGCTTAGGTCACTTATACTTATTTATGTTTATTTTTATTAGTTCTAACAGTTATTTTAGTGGGAGGGATTTGTAATTTGTTCATTTATTTATTTTGGATTAATTTTTACTTGTTTTTTTGTTTTTTTTTCTTATTTATTTGTTTATTTTTAGTTTTTATTTTTTATATTTTTATATACTCTATTCGATTTTTTTTTTTTTTTTTTCCAATTCCATAGCAACCAAATGGTGCTCTCTACCCACTCAAGCGTTGAGATCCCCAAGTAAAATTAGCTTTTCCTCTTTGGAATGCCAATTATGGTCTCTTGAAGAGCTCTGTAGAACTGCATAATTGCTTCATCAGAAACTTGAAGTGTTGGAGCATACACAGATAGGATGGGCATATAACATCCACAAGAAAGTGAGACATGCAGCTTCATGATATGATTATTTATGCTGGAGGGGCACTCTATCTTTTCAGCAAGAGAGGAGCGGATAGCAAAGCCAACTCTCCCTCTCTTTTCTCACCTTTCAGTTTTCCTATCCAGAAGATAATGTATCCTGATTTCACCTCCATGAAGGGATCCTCATCAGAGAAGTGAGTTTCCAAGAGTGCTGCAATATCAATGTTAAGTTGACAGAATTCCTTCGTCACCAGAGCTCTTCTCCATTCTGGTCTGCCAGATTTTTCAAGATCAAGCAACATTCTAACATTCCAACGTCCGATATTCACTGATATGTGCTCCTTGGCATATTGTTTAGTATTTATATCTCTTTTGTTCTTGCTTATAATGACCAGCTGCCAGCCATAGCAAACTGACCTGCTTGAGGGGATGACAAGCAATTTTTGATGCACCTTTTCTAGCATCCTCCCGATAACTCTGGGTGAGCAGTGCTGTCCCTGAACAGGGCTGCTCAGACACAGAAGCTTCCACCAAGATCTGCCTTTTGCCATCCATTAGGCAAGATAACGATGTTAGATAAAACTCCTGACATCTTTGTGCAGATTCATGACTACAGGCCTCCAACTCATCAAGTCTGCCTACATTGACATTTCCCCACTGCCAAATGAATATAACAAAAGATGCAATAATACATCAGATGAATTAACAAGACATCTATACATCAATGGATTATAGTGATGTAGGCTTGTACATCACCTACACCAATCTTTAACTAGCTTCCAGTGACAAGCTATTACAAGATAACTGGTAGCCACTTTGATTGCAGGTTTTTTTGAGTTGTCAAAAAACACTTCCAGCCACAGAGGTTACATTATCACTAGCCACCAGATACTGAACAGACACATCATGGATTTACACAAATTCACTCTATTTGCCCATAACTGGAACCCTAACAGGTGCTACCACTCTCGGTCAGAGTGGACCTGGGAACAACAGCAATTAAAAGGTGGTTCCATGCTCCTTATAACCTTCAATCTCCCAATCAGAAGACTTGCTGTCGGATGTAGTTTATCATCATACCCAGGACAAAAAAAAACACACACAAGGTGACATGGACCCACCCAAGATCAAAGCATGGACACATGATCATTATCAGAAGCTGTGATTTGAAAGATGTCTGCAGTGCCCGTGCTTTTATGCAGTGCTGAGTGTGATGCAGATCATAAGTTGGGAAAGTTTAAATTGCAAGTCAGAAGGTAAGTACTATGGCCGGAATTAAAATACCAAAGCGCATGAATAAAGAAAATGAAACAGCCTGATGTCTGTCAGCAACTTTCTGATGCCCTTAGCAACACCAACTTCAATGGATCTTGGGATAATTTCAAGGAGCAGGTCTGCACAGCTGGCAATGACATACTCTGACTAAATCAGAAGAAACACAAAGACTGGTTTGGCAAGAACGATGACATAATCATCCAGCTGCTTGAAACAAAGCATTCATTGATCAAGTTCCTTCTTGATCCTAATCTGAATAACAGACCACAGGTTGAAAAATCACAAAGCAAACTTGCAACATGTCCTGAGAGAAATGAAAACCAAGTGATGGTCTAACATATCAGCTGAAGTATAAGAAGCAGCTAATCAACACAACATGAAGCGACTCTACTTTCTTTTGTGATTGTATTTGGTCCACCTTCAGCCTCTGTGGCTCCACTCAATTCCAAAGATGGATCAGTGTTAATAAAAGATTCTGAGGGTATCATGAAACGGTGGTACTCTACAGATCTGTTTTTCAACCCCTCGGTGGTAGACGAAACTGCTATAGAAAGTATACCACAGTCTGACGTCATCACAGATTTAGATGTTTCACCTTCTAAGGAAGAAACTGACCTAGTCATTAGTCAGATTGATACTAGTAAAGCACCAAAGATGGATGGCATACCTATGGAACTACTGCAGTAGGGAGGGGAAAATGTGAATTCAATTGTGCATAGCTTTATTCATGAATGTTGGGAAGGAATACCAATTCCCACCTGACTGGATTAATAGTATCCTTGTTTACCTTTGTAAGGGAAAAGGATCCAAGTCAAGATTGTGACAATTACCATGGCATAACACTCCTTAAATCTGTTGGAAAGATCTTGGCCAGACTTCTCCTTAACAGACTGCTATCACATATATTTCCTGAACCACAATGTGGCTTTCAACTTGGAACGGGGGAACAATTGACATGATATTCTCAGTCTGACAGCTGCAAGAAAAATGTTTGGAGCAGAACATGCCTCTGTACCAAATATTTGTAGATTTAACTAAGGCTTTTGATACTGTCAACTGCGATGCCCTTTGAAAAGTTCTTGCTAAACTTAGATGCCTACGCAATTTCATTAATATGTTTAAGAGAATGCACAGCAATATGAAAGCTTGTGTCATGGTTAATAGAGAATTGTCAGAAGTAGTAGCCATTGACAACAGTTTTAAGCAGGGATACATTCCCGCACATACCTTGTTCTCTATTTACTTTGCTGTGGCTCTCTCATACACATTTCATGATTGCAACATTGGAATTGGTCTTCGATTTCAAATGAAAGGTAAGGTTTACAATCTCCGAAGGTGTAACGTCAACTCCAAGATCTTCAATACCCTTGTGCGTGAACTACTATATGCTGATGACGCTGACTTTGTCACACATTCTGAGAGGGATATGCAGATACTGATGGACCATTTTTCAGCTATGGTTACTGCATTTGGACTGACCATGAGCCTGAAGGAAACCAAAGTAATGTTCACTCCTCCTCCTGCCTTACATTGAATCAAACATATATGTCAATGGCACTCATTTAGGCGTTGTGGATACATTTGTGTAATTTGGCAGTACATTGTCTCAAGATGGATCTATTGATGCTGGAGTACATACCCAAATCCAAAAGGCCTTGGTTGTGTTTGAAAAATTAGAGAAACATTTGTGATCAGACAGAGGCATCACCAGCAGTACTAAAGTGACAGTTTACCAAACTTGTGTACTGACTGACCTGTTGTACTCTTCAGAAGCTTGGATGATTTACCGCTATCACCTGAAATGGCTTGAGGGCTTTCATCAAAATTGTCTAAGGAGAATCCTTAACATAAAATGACAGTCTATGATACTAGACACCACTGTTATTCTCAAGGCCTGCTGTCCAAGCATAGAAAACTTACTGATTAAAAAGATGGGCTGGACATGTGGTATGCATGGATGACAGTAGGTTGCCAAAGAAGCTATTTTATGGCAAGCTTGCAAATGGTAAGCGCCCTCAGCATAAGCCAAAAAAAAAAAGATTTAAAGGTAAGGAATAACTTGAAAGAGATGACTGGGAAAATCTTGCTAGTGATTGCAATAAGTGGCACAGGGTTGTTGTAGAAGGATGGAAGTCAGCAGAGGAAAAGATTTTATCACATGCAGCACTGAAAAGGGATTTGAGGAAAGGTATTACCAGGAGCTTGGATGACAGCACTGAAAACTGGAAATGCGAGACATGTGGTCATATCAAACTGCCAAAAGCTGGGCATGTTAATCATCTGAAAGATGACCTCACTCAGTGCTACCTCCATGGCCCGGTGATCTGTATGTGAATCAGCATCTGGATTGAAGAGACATATGGTGGTACACAAGGATGACCACCACAGCAACCTCTGCTTAACCCTGTGAAGACTCTGGAGCACATCTGTCAGCTATGCTATAGACCTTGCAAATCAGCTGCTTGTTTCAAGAGCCACCTTTGAAGTCATTCAAGAGTAATCAATGATCTAAATTGAATGTAAGATGGGGCAATCAATATATTAGTATATTAGTAAAATATTTGTCCCTTAGCTGATTGATGTTACCTTTACCCGACTGCAGATTTTTAACTGCCCCTTCATCCTCTCATCAGGGTATATCATATATATATATATATGACATTGCACATTTAGTGCCGATGTTAATAAAAATAGTGTTCAATGTTATATAACAATGCTATTAAACATATATTAATAAATATTTATATTATCTGTCATCAGTAGCACGGCTCAGTTTCATGTACAATGCAATCTTCAGGTAGAAGAATGACCATTATATAATTTAAATTTTATTAAAAATATCTGGTTAATGCAATGCTGATACAGTCCATATATTATATGGGAATTATGGCTTTTGTGGGGGTATAAAAATAAACAGACTATAAAAAATAAAAATAACAAATTATGTAGTGTGAAAATCTGTTTTTAAATACAAAAATATTTTATAATTAAGATAGGTGGGTTTTATATTTAAAATGAACATGGATTAAAGGTTTGTTTTTATATATTTAAAATAAATGGAGATTAATTGTTTTTTTGTTTTCGGGGTTTTTTTTTTTTTTTTTTTTTTTTTTTTTGTGTAAAATAAATGGACCTAAAAAAAACAAAGACAGTTATCTATGTTTATCTATGCTTGAATATGATAAGTGAACAGAAAAAATAAATAATTTACAGTCAAACTTGATCTGGATCAACATATTTCAACAAATATTTATTTTTATGCCTACATGTGAGCATCAATTCATTTCTCTTGTTTAATAAGCTACAGAGATTTAAGATAACTAATTTTTCTACAAGGCATAAACTACATCTATCACCTTTCCCATTGTAAAATTTGGCTTTAGGTACAATATCACACACAATAATGTGTGTATTACCACCATTCTTTAATTGCCAGAAATATTTGGAGAGAGCAGTGTTGTTTATGTATCTTACATTGCCTAAAGTTATGTGATGATGGTAGACATGAAATTTCGAAGGATTTTAAGTGGAACCAAAGAAAAACTTTATGTTGTTACAGGAAATATATATATATATATATATATACACACACACACACACACTATAATTCTCGTATCTTTTTTCTTTTTTATTTCAGTGCAACCTTGGGTATTTCCATGGTAAATTTGACCTTGGTACATGTTTGCACGCCTGTGGAGTGGCAACAGACATGGTACTACAGAAATGCATTAACAGTGAAGCTGCATTTGTTGTGTGTCCATGTTGCTATGGAGCAGTACAAAACACCCATTTAATTACTTACCCAAGAAGTCAACTTTTTCAAGCTGCAAATATTTCAGATATGGTAAGTTAATTTTAAATCAACTTTAAAATGGTAGCCTATAATATAGTATTTTCCAGAACATTAATGTACACTTCCATAGTGTAAACAAAGTAAAAAATATTTTATCATCTTAAAGAATACAATTTGATTTTTCAAATAAAATATCATATAGTGTTTTAACAGATTATTACAAATATTAAATATCATCATCTTTTTGCTCTTCATAACAATTTTTGTTAATGTATAATCAAAAGTTAGAGAATTTTTTTTAATCTTCTCGGCCCAAGCAAGATGATAAAGCCACTAAGACACAGGGAGTGAAAGAATCTTAGAACACTCCTCATTAAGAAGAGAGGACAATAGAAGAACAGGATTCAAGGATACAGATTTATTTTTTTTTTAAGTTGACTGGGAAACAAGAAACTGAAAAAGTGTTCCACAAGTGCAAAAGAAGACACTATTAGCATAGAAGTTATGGTTACATCTAGCAGTTTCAACAGTAAAATGATGAGACCTAACTGGTGATCAAGTACTACACTTAAATTCATATATCTAGGTATCTTAGCAGAAAGCTATGTTATGGCAGTGAAAAAGTGACTGAACTCTATATGTCAGGTGAGGACTAATAACATTGCAGATTCATTGGATTTTGCAATGACTCCCCACCTTGAGGGTATTATATAATAAATAAGAGATTATATGTAATTTCCTTTAGGTTAATTCCCTTCTAATAATGATTCAGCGGTTCTACTTTCCAACTCTCTTTCCATCTGCATTTCTAAGATGTTTTTAGTGTTATTGTTATTGTATCGCCCAACATCCTTTTGTATGTGGTAAGGGGGTGATCTATGGAAGAAATGTTTATTCTCCCATTTGCATTTACCTCACTGTAGGTATTATTATATCCATGATATAATAACACCGTATGGAATTGCTGAAAAGAAAAGGAGTGATAAATATACTTTATTCTCAGTTTTATACTAAGTCATATGCAAAATTATATACACATATATACATTTGTCCCATACAGAGAAAATATAACATATTTCTACACAACAAGCAGTCTGAAAAAGAACAAAAAGATATGGTCTTACATATAATATGGAGATTTTTTTGTGCTTCTGGAGATTCTGTGTTTTTAGAGAAGCTATATTTAGGATTCCAGATTTGAGCAGGCCAGATTTATCTACTACGTCCCTAGCAAGGATATGTTCTGCAAACAGAGAAACAGTGAGTCTTGAGTTGCCCCAAATTAAGGACTGTGAGCTGAAGATAGTTTCTTTCCATATCTAGTGAAGATATATTCCCCAAAAGAAACAGCACTACGGGATTGTAAGCTGCACCATGTAGGAGCTGGCTGGGGAAGGCAGAATTGGCCTCCATCCAGGCAAGGCCCTTGCCTCACCCATGCTAAAAAAACAACTGCTCAGGATGACTCCTGGAAGCTGACTGACTGTAGCACTAACTTATTGCCACTTTTGTCACGATGCAGTCGCATCTCTAAGCAGCAGTCACATAACCCATGTGATTTCATCTCTGCCAGAGAGAGATGATTGCCTTTTGTATCCCTATAGTGGTAACTAATTAGGAAAGTTCTAATATTCCTTAGGAAAAAGACCAGATCAAACTGATAAGAGAATGAACACTGCATACCACCATTGATTAAGTAAAATATTTTCTTAGAAGTTTACCAAATATGACAAAAATTTGAGGAAGGCCAGAGAATACAAAAATCAGAATATTGTAATAAAAACAACAAAGATGAGGAAACTGGTCAGAATGAATCCATGTATAATAGTAACAACCAATGTGTTTTTATTCCAATAGGATCTTTTAACATTGGGTCATGCAGCTGATCAAACAGAATTCAAGATTGCACTTGCTGAACAAGGTATTTGATGTTTTATTTCTTCTAGCTTACATTTTAATTTGAAAGCTACCGTACCTTAATATTATTTACATGTATTTGTGTGTGTGTGTGTGTGTGTGTGTGTGTGTATATATATATATATATATATATATATATATATATATATATATATATATATATATATGTATATATATATATATATATATATATATATATATATATAATTTTAAATAAAAACAGACCACTTTAAGGTTCCATGTAATAAATTATTTCATCACAGCCCTTTTAAAGGACTGTGGATCATCAGACTTTACTTCCAAACAAAAAATGAAAAGAAAATTTACACATTTTTGACGGGCCGTATTAAACATGTAAATTAACGAAGTGAGGGAAGACATGAGTGAGTTAGCAGACATTGACACATTTAAACTTAACGGAAGTTATATATTGATATCGAAGGGGTAGAGAAGAAAAAACCCATAGAGAAAAAAAGAAAGAAGGAAGTTATGAGAGAAGATGTCAAAAAAAAGGGTCTAGAAACACTGTTATTTTGCTTTACTTTGAAAATGTTATTTTGGAGGTTCATAAAGATTATAATGTTTGATATAAATCTGAATGTCTCTAGACTGTCTACAAATAATTTAATTTGATGTTTGTTATTGATTTAAATTTTTTTAAATTTTGGGGATTTTCTATGAAATAGTCGATTAGAAAAATATTCATAGAAAGTACATTAAAAGAATAAAATTTTATTTTAAAATATAAGTTTACTTCTAATAATCTTTTCTTTTTTTAATAATCTCTTTAAAAAAATTTATTATTGATTATTAAGTTGACATCTCTATCTGTTTGAATTTTGTTCATGAATTTAACTCGTGACTGTTTCTAGATAGGTAATCTCTTTTACTTACATTTTAGTTAAGTTAATATGGGGTAATATTTGAAGGTAATATTAAAGATCTTGCTCTCTCATATACTGTATACACACCCATGCAAATATCACATATACACACGTTCCTTTACATGTTCAATCACTCATATAGGTACCCATGTGCTGAAATACACAGGTAACTTCATGTATTAACATCTACCTAAATATCAAAAAGTTTTCCAATTTAAATATTTTATCATCAATAATGATTATTAAAGGGTAATATTTCAATTTAAATTATCAATTTAAAAAGTTTTCCTCCATATTACAAAGAATTTTAAACTCACACTTCCAATTGGAGAATATTAAATGAGAAAATGGGATAAAACACTAATAACAGGACTGTAAGTCCTTCTTTTATAATATTTTATGTATCCATTATCAATTATTTGCTCTGGATTTACATTGAGCTCTCTGGATTTTATCCTCCTTAGGTTTACCCATACGGATTACTTAGTTTTTCATAAACTATAATATATATATATATATATATTAGCCCTATTTTAAACTAGAGTGATGGGAGCTTAGACCCGTCCTTCTTGAACAGTCATAATTTTCTGTTGTCGAATTACCATCTTTTCCTATTTATCCACTTTTGCCATTTTTACCAAGCACCATATATATATATATATATATATATATATATATATATATATATAAATTAATATGATATTAATATTAATTTGATATTAAAATCTGAATGAAAAGTTTGAATTTTCAATGTTAAATTCATTTCTTTTTATATATGAGACTTATTTTTGAGACTGGTATTTTATCCACTTTTGGGATAAGAACCTAGATTCATTTTTTTATATATGAATTATAAAAAGATTTTATCTTTTAACTTTCTTTGATCTAACGGAATTAAAATGGCTAGCATCTAATAATACAACAAAATATTTTTATTGCTATTTTTATAACTTTCTTTATCTTAAATGCTATTAGCATAAAAAGAAAAAACAATAAAGATGCTTAAAATTCCAAAACTAAATAATTTTTTCAAATATCAATATTTAATTAAATCATTTAAATTTTATGTATTTACTTAGAGAAATTGTTGCATAATTTAAAACACAAAAATTTAAAATTGTAAATAAGCTTTATTGCTATTTTAAATAGGTGGGTGTAACCTATTTAAATCTAATATCTTGTAACAATTAATTTTACAAAATCAAACTTCTGATCTTTCATAGTTTTTAATTAAAATATTAAAAATATAAACTAAAAAATAAATTTATAAATATTAAGTCGCAATAAAAGAGGCTCTTTTGTTACAAAATAATATTGTTTTGTTTTAACTCTTTAATGAATCAATTTTTTTTCAAATAACATTTAATTTTATAATGTATTTTTTGTTTTATAAATTAATTTAAAGGAAATGTCAATCATTATCTTTATTCTTGTTCTTTTATTATACTCACTTTTTAATTGTTTTATTTTTTAAAACTCAATAATACCACCTTGTGTCTTAGTGGCTTCATTGCCTTGCTTGGTGTGAAATAATTAAAAAAAGAATATTTAATATAGGATTTTTTTTTTTTTTTTTTTTTTTTGCTTGTAGAAGGAAAAAGTAATGTTAATCTTTGTTAAGGTAGTAAAAAAAAATTGGTGCTCGGAAAATTCAGTAACTATGAAATAAAAATTGATTAAAAATTGATTTTAGGGCAGTTCTAGAGTAGGGATTTGGGGGCTAAGCCCCCTCCCCTTATATTTTTGAAATAGAAATAAGGCTATATATAATCTTCCATTACCAAATTTTCCTAAATTCATATATTTTTATATTAATAGTATTATCTCAAGTTGACATTAAAATTTTAAATTAAAAGTTCCTTGAATTTTCAATGTTAAATTTGCTTCTTTTTATATACAAATTTTTTTTATTTATGAGACTGGGATTTTATTTAAGTGATTGGGATTTTGTCCTGGATTCAGCTCTACATGTACTTTAAAAAAAATTAGTTTCTATTTGAGCTATCATCCTAATACCATTTGGGACCTGCCATGGGTCCACCATTACACCTATAATCCCAACTGAAAATATTGCATCACTTCTGCCAGTGCTCGGTAAAAGTGGCAATGGAAAAAATGGCAAGAGTGGATAAATAGGAAAAAATGGCAAGAGTGGATAAATAGGAAAAAATGGCAATTCGACAAGAGAAAATTATGACCATTCGAGAAGGATGGGTCTAAGCTCCCATCCTTCTAGTTTAAAATAGGGCTAAGTCCCCTCTCAATATTTTAAATAGATATTTACTCTAGTGGGGAGGGGAGCTAGGCTCCTTCTCCTCTTGTTTTAAATATCACTCCTAGTATTAAAAACATTTTTTTTAAATTTTCGATGTCGATTTTTAGAAGTTTTATGGGGGGGCGCTAGGTTCCTACTCCTAATTGCAATAAAAGCACAAATCGTAGCGTGTTTAAGTGAATTTGATGACTATAATTAATTTTATTATTGATAGCTGACATTAGGATTAGATGTGTGTGTGTGTGTGTGTATATATATATATATAAAAAAAATAAGTGTGTGTATATATATATATATATATATATATATATATATATATATATATATATAAAATAAGTGTGTGTGTGTGTATATATATATATATATATATATATATATGTGTGTTGGGACGATTAATCGGAATTGAGAAATCAAAAAAATCGTGAAGGTTAGGAATCCCATTCAAATAAAACTTTTTCTTTAATTGGAATGTTTTCTTTGAAAATATTTTTAAAAATAGTTTATTTATTATTTTTTATGATTGGAATGTTTTCTTTTTAAATAGTTTATATTAAAAACATTTTTAAATACTTTATTCTATTTTTTAAATAGTCTAATAGTTTTTTTTATAAATAGAAATGTAACAAAATTTAAATCTATTAAACGTCATGGTAATAATGTATCCAATATATTGTTTTTTTATTCGACTGCATTACTGATTCCCACGTGTTCAAACTAGTGAAATTAAAAAAAAAACAACAACTCTAAGTGTACAAAATTGACGAGGAACTGTTTTCCGATAAACACCGCTTAATGTCGGTTTCTGATTTCAATATTGGAAGCTCTCATCAAGTGGACCTATAATTGTTTTTTCCCAAGTTTTTCAGTGTGTTCAGACATAATCGCCTAAAAAAATAAAATCTCATGGGAGGGGGGAGCTTTAGCTGAATATTCTTTTTAATTTGACAAACTTCTCATGTTTTTCCATTATGTATTGTATTTTAATAAACTCATTGTGAGATATTCATCTATATTCTTTTTCCTTTTGCCATTTTTTCTTATTTATCCATTTTTGCCATTTTTACCTATTTATCCACTTTTGCCATTTTTTCCGCTGCCATTTTTACCTAAATTCATATATACTTATATGTACAAGAAAGATTTATTTCTGGATTTGCTATATATAAATTCATAGTAAATTGATCAAACCTCTAAAACAAGTTTTTTCTGGCAGTGCTACAATCACATATTCTATACTTCATACTTAGCGAATCCTAGTATACCGTAAAATCTGACTTTATGTGAAGATAGCCTCAAGAAGTGTTTTTTAAAGTTTGTTCCAAAATGTAAACAAACAACAGAGAATGTATATGAAGATAGATTAAGCCATAAAAAATATTTTTCTAACAATGCTACAGTCACATATTCAATATATTTCATAGTTAGGGAGTCCTAGTAGCCTATAAAACTTTACTTTATGTGAAGAAATTCTCAATTTAAAGTTTGAATTAAAAGTTTCTTAAATTTTCAATTTATGAGCCTTGGATTTTGTCCACCTTTGGGATAAGAGGTTGGGTTTTTGTCTGGATCCAAATTAAACTATATCATCGCTTTTCTTCTGATCTTTAAAATGTGCAAAATAATACAATAAAAAGATACACCCTCTTTCATTGATAACACTATCAAAATTGTTCTTTTAATTTTGTATTAAGAAAACTATTTACCTGGCTATATACATTTTTAAAGCATTTGTAAATTAATAAATGACTTTTTTCATAAATAGAAAAGGAAAGTATAATTTTGCAAATAATTTTCCAAGATTTCCCTTCACATTTTACAACCTTCTAAAGTTTTTTAACATTTGCTAAATAGAAATAATATGAAAAGTTGAAAGAAAATGTTTTTTTAAAATTAAAATATCAAAACTACAATAAATATGAAATATACATCAAAATATTATCTAAGCTATTTGTTCCATACAAATGTTGAATTACATTTTATCTATTTATGGAAAAAAAAATTATTAATTCAGGGATACTTGTACCTGTTAATCTTTAAAAATATTTGATCAGAATATGAGGTCAGGTAAACAATTCTTTACATAAGAATAAGGACAGTAAAAATTTTTAAAAATTAATAGCATCAACAATGAAAATAAATGTTGACAATAAGTCTTATTTATTAAATATTACTTTTATATTATTTTAAACTAGTTTACTAAAATATTACTACAATAATTTGAATAGTTCATTTCATTAAAGATATATTAAATAAATTAAAATATTACTTTTTGTGACTTTTTTCTTCTCACAAGTAGAAGTTATAATTCTTTGCTCTAACAAATGGAATTCTAATAATTTTTTTCTGTGACTTTTTTTCTGACAACCAGAAATATAAATAAAAATGAAAAAAAAGGTCAGTGTAACCTATTTTAATATAAGCTTAAATTTTCTACTTGTTTATATGATTTTCTTATGGTCTTATTTACCAAGATGAGCATGTTCTAAAGAAATAATGCTAGCTTCCAAGCCAGAAGGATGTAAATCATGTATTTAAAATCTAATGTCAAGATAAAACTCTCAATTAGTGCAAAGTAGAAGAGGGACTGCTTTATCCATATTAGATGTTTAGCTGGCTTCATTTGAATCATGTGTTTCTAAAGATATACATTTTTAAGTATCAATAAATTAAAGAATTATTTTCTATAAATAAAAAGAAACTACAATTGAAAATTTTACAAATATTGTTGAAAGAATGTCCCTTTTATACTTTTATTTCAACTTGCTTTTGCTTTTACACAACAGCTAAGTTGTGTTTTTTTTTATTTTATTTAAATAATGTGGTTGAATAAATGAGGTCAAGTTGGAAAGAAAAATCAACTTCTATGTGCTATGTCCCTTCAGGACATGGATGGTCATAGACCTCTTTATAGCTTCTTGTAAATTTTGTCCGTTCATTAGCTCTCCTAAACTCAAGCTTGTTAGATAGGTTATGTGCTGTTTACCTGTCTCTCTTGCCTTCAGTATGTCTTGTGAGTTTCAAATTCTTTAAGCTCTCTTCCTCAGTAGTTCCTTAGAAATTTCAACACTCTCTAATATGTCCTTTTTGTTTTGATTTTCTCTAAAACTTTGTTGTTGCTCACATATTCAGTTCATAGCATTTTCATCATCCTTCTGTCGAACCTCATTTCTGTTGCTTTAAGTCTCTTCATCTGTGAGGAGATTCTTAGCATACATAGCTATATAGGAGCACTGATATTATATAACAGTTCAGTTTCTAACAACATTTTCCTGTTTCTTAATACTTTTCTTATCTTTTGGAAAGCACCTTTCACTATCTCAATTTCCCTTTGAATTTCCTTGTCATATTTTCCATCCTCTATTAATGCACTTTTCCAGATAATTAAATTGTTGTACTTGCTTGATTTTGGTATCTCCATTTTGTAATTTCCATGTTGGACTTTTCTTTTTTCTGCCTTCTTAAAATTGATATTTAGTCCTTTCCTTCAAACTATATTGTTTTCTAATTTATTTCTATATAAATTGGTAAATGATAAATATTGCATTGCATTAGTTTTAATACAATTGTATTAGAGTTTACATTGTCATAAATATAAAATTATTCTTTTAAAATATTGTTTGTTTCTTTTTGTTCTCTTTTCTTCAACCATATACATAAGGATTAAGTACAATGTTACTTGAATTTTGTAATTTTTGTTGAAGGTGACATTGTTAGCATTTTAAGCCATTGGTGATTTTCACTAAAGAAAATCATACTTGTAAAAATCTGCTTGAGAAACAAAAAATGTCAATGATAATTATTTTTCTCTAGTGAATAAATATATTTCTTCTTTTACAAATATTTTTGTATAGTCAAATGAATAAATTAGAAACAAGTCACAGAATTGTATGTTAATCACTCGGTCATCAGTGATAATTTTATGCCAAAATTAGTTTTTTTTTGTTTTTTTTGTTTTTGTTTTTTTTTATTATAGGAATCTTCTCCAAAGAAAAAAATCGACTTTTCCTCATTTCTAAGGTAGATGTTTATATGCATAGTCTTTTGTTAGGGAAATGTCTGCAGTATCTTTAATGAAAAATTACTTTTAGTATTACAGCCCACGTTATGATGTTTTGTACCTCATGCAGCCTACTGTTTGAAAAAGGTTGCCCATGCCTGAATTAGAGTTTATGCTTATTCACAAAGGAAAATATTTAATACAGTTTAAAGTATTAAAGTAAATTTTAAAATAAATATATATGTTTATAGATGTGAAGGTGGTGAAATGGATAGCAGCTACAAATGAGAAATTGGTAAAAGCTGAGTTTGGATTTTACTTGTTGCATTTGCTTTTTGCACAAACACCCTTGGGAAATGTAGGAATCCATCTTTGTTTCCCACAGCTGTTGGTTAAATAGGATGACAACCAGTCAGAGAACAACAACTGTAAATTAAAAATCTGTGAATAAAGCTATCACCAGCCATTTTAAACATTCTTGTCACTGGATCATCATAATTGATGTCCAAAGAGTCCTATTGAAGTTGTCCAAGTGTCTATCACAAGAATATCTCTGATTTACAGGTACTTTCTTACATGTAAGAAAGTAGCTATGCTGAAAATCAAGTAGAGACATCATTATATATATTTATTTATTTATTTTTAATTGTTTCACCATTAACAAGGCAGAAACATCACTGGTATGAAGATAGAGTAAAAGTGAGATAAAAGACTGAGTATAGGTAGGATTGAGGAAAGGGCAAAAGATGAATGAGATTCAAGAAGACAGAAGATGGCGATTGACACTGCCTTTAAATTTTGGGGAGATTGTAGCTATCAGGGAAACCAGTAAATGGAAGGAAGTTCCACGGGTGGTAAGTTCAAGAGAAGAAATTGTTGGAATAAAAGGGACATTTGCATTTAGCTATTTCAACAGTAAACAGGTGGGACCTAGATGTCAATTTAATAGCATACTTAAATTTGTGAACTTGGAGAAAAAAAGCTGGTCAGAGCCGTTGCCATGAAAATATTTGTAGAAAAGACAGAAGGAAGCTACATTACATCAGTAAGAAAATGACTGAAGTTGGGATGTCCGGCCAGGATTGATTACATTGCAGATCATCCTTAGGATTTTGTCAAAAATTTCTAGATGCACAGCAGGAGCACTGAACCAAATATGGCAACAATATTCAATGCATGGACAAATGGTAAATTTATAAATGTGCAATATGAATTCTGACAAAAATTTTCTGGTACAACACAGTGACCCAATTTTTCTTGCAGTAGATGCAGTTATTGATTTAATATAGTCACTCCACTTCATGTTAGTGGGAAATGTGAGGCCAAGGAGGTGTAGTGTGTTGCTCTCCTGGAGTCTGACATCAGCTATGTTGATGGCAGGCACAAAAGGGTCTCTGTGGTGGTTAAATGAAAGCAGTTTTGTTTTGGAATTAAGATTTACAAACCATTTCACAAAAACTAAATTTAACATTTTTATTTTATTGGTCATTACTTCAAAATTTATGAGTTTTTTTTTTTTTTTTTTTTTTTCCACATCCAAAGACTGAAATTTTAAAAAGATCTATTTTATTTTTTCTTTCAGTTAAAATGTAATAAAAATTCAAGAGAAATGTTACATTTAACAGGCTGCTAATTTATAGTTTTTTTTTGTTTTTTTTTTTTAAATATTGGTGTGTTAAACTCTTCAAAACTAAATTTTTATGAGCATGGAAAATTTTGATGAAAGACAATATTGTTTATTGACAAAGAAAAAAAACTTGAAATCCTGAGGGGAAAAATTGATAATCATGTCATTTTGACTAAACTAGTTACTAAATAAAACTAAAGTTTGCTTATATTTTATAAAGATGAGTTTACAGCTTTTGAACTTTTAGTTAGCGATGAATTTAAAATATACAGCTTTGTTAATGTTTTTTTTTATTTTTAATTTCAGGTCGATATTGTATGAATTTGGTTGATACAGATCGGTTGGCTTATACTGAGGAAAAAGGATATGATGTTATTCTATGTTCACTCCAACCATTGACATGTACCCCCAAGAACAATCTACTAATTGGAACACCAAAATATATAAAAAATGGCCTCAGCTGACATGTCCATAAAAACAGTTAAATGCAGTAGCCCTTATCTAACATACAGCTTAAACTTTTCCATCTTCACTTTAATGTCTTAATTAGAACATAAACATATGCTCTTCTCACAATATCCAGAGAATAAAGATACATGTTAAAATAGAATTTTTAAAATTATATATAAAACTTCTAAAAATTAAACTGAATTGGGAGAAAAAAATAATTCTATTAAGAAATTTATTTTTCTCTCTACAAATAATTCTAATAGTAATAGGAAAAATCCCAACAGACAAAATTCCAGTCTTACTTCTAAAAAGAAACATTTAACATCAAAAATTCAAGGAACTTCTTATTCAAATTTTGGCAAACATGGATAAACATGCCTGCAATAAGATGTAGTGTCAAAAGGACAGTTTTTCCCTTGACACCACTATTATTTTAACTACCTTCACTCCTCAACAATGATTAATTTAAAAAACAATGATTAGAATTTGAATAAAACCTAAACATGATGAAAGTGAATTTATATATTTTCTTTGTTCTTGAGAATTGACAACAAAAATAATAAACACTATTTATTCGAATGGTTGGCAAAACATAAGCTAATTACCAATTGATTCAAACTTTATAAAACAGTAAGGATTTCCTTATAGTTGGTTCATATATTTTAATAATTTAGTAGATTTTAGAATAAAAATTGATTTCCCATTTATTTCTTTATAAATTGATAAATGATAAATATTGCATTGCATTAGTTTTAATTGTATTAGTTTTTAGAATGTAATAAATATATAATTATTATTGTAATTAAACTAATAAATAAATAGTTTTTATTTTTAATGTTTAGGTTTTATTTCAATTCTAATCATCACTTTCTAAAACAATAGATATTACCAAAGAGTGAAGGTAGTTAAAAAAAATTGATGTCAGGGGAAAAACCATCCTTTTAACACTCCATTTATGCCCAAATTTTAATGTCAAATTCAAACAATAAAAATTGATCTTTCTTTGTGAGTCTAGTTGTTTTTTTTTTTTTTTGTTTTTTTTTTGTCCACTTCTGGGATAAGAGCACTAGGTTTTTCTCATGAATTCAATTCTGCTAAACCTTTTCTTCATTTGAAATTTTTCTAATCTCCTCAAATCTGCAACAAAAAGAACTGAATCTACTTCCTTTTGCATCTATTTTATCAGCATAAGATCTCAAGAATTTTTAATTAAGTGATTTAAGTATAAAAATCATATTTGTGATGATACTATACTTGAGTAAAGTTTTTAGGAAATATACAGCCAGAAACCATTCACAGAAGAATAGCCACCAAAAATAAATCTCAATACATACAGCCAAAAACATTTCAAATTACTTTAAAAAATGATAACAGCTATGGCGGCATGGCCGGGACCGCGGCTTGCTTGCTTTGGTTGGGATTGATCCTGGTATCAGAGAACAAGCCGTCAGCCAACACTTGTCTGTCGTTAATGGCGTTTGACACAGCAGCTGGTCTTTAAGTTGACCTCTTCAACTATGACCTCTCTTACCCATGTAATATTTGATCTTTAGTGAGTCAAGCCAAATTATCATTGGGGTATCTCAACCATGCTAACCAAGGAGTTGAAGGACAATAAAAATAATAAAACCTGCAGATAGTCTTGCAAGTTATTTCCTATCTGCAGGTTTTATTATTTTTATTGTCCTTACCTCATGAAATTGTAAGGACCTAAAAATAAAACAAATATTCCTTGTCTGTCATATTTAACAATCTGCATAAGACTTGCTACTTAGATTTATCAAATCTAAAGAAAGGACATAATTTTATTTTTTTTTTATTTTATTTTTTTATTTTTTTAAATTTAACATCAATCTATCATTATTTCCCCACTAGTGCCAAAGGTCATTCCAAATACAGAATTTAAAAACAAACCTGCAAAATATTTTAAGTGAGTTGGAATAAATTTAGTAAATATCAATATTTTTTTATGAATTTTTTTTTTATCTGAATCTTGTATAATAAAAAGAATTCAATAAACTGTTACAACTTCCAAAATAAAGTTTCAAATAAAACAAAATGCATATTTTAAAACTGAAAATTTTATTTCATGAATATTGCGAAAATAGATTGTGAATAAGTGAAATTTATGTAAATTTTCTAACTTGACAGCATTTGAAAATTTAGTCCTGTTTTCTTTGCAACACATTAAAAATTTACACAAAGTTAGCATTTTTATTCAAATAACAGAATTTGAAGTCCATTCCGAGTGTTTAGGCTTTAACATGTTGAGTGCTAAATGTCAATTACAAAATCTGACTTCAGTGCCAACAGTCAATAAATTTTTGAGTTCATTTATAGCTTTAACTGTCTTTATTTTTAATGTGAAAACAAACCACCTGTGTTTGAAATATCACAAAATATCTAGTTTGGATATTGGACATTGTTTGTTGTTTAAATGCTTTATGGGATAAATTTTATAAAAATATTTTTAACCATTTAAAATTTTTATTCAATAAAAAAAAAATTCTTTATTAGTCAAAGTAAAAGACAAATATAAATAGCGATTTGAATATTAAACATTTATAATAATGTAATATTTTGTCAAATTAAAATAATGTTCTATGAATTCCTGCATTATGTTTTAAAGTGTAATGCTTAGCATGAAAGTGATAATGAGAAAAACACAAATCAGGCTGATCCTTAATAGCATAGATTAAGGTTTCAGAGAATCAACAAACATTAACTAAAACATGAACAGATGATAAAATGCTATATATATATATATATAGTAATGTTAGAACAAAGTTTAATTAGCTACCCTAACAATTTTAATTCTGGTTGTCAATTATCCTTTAAAACAGTTGCAAGAGCCTGTCCACAAGATATCAGTTGAAGCTTCTTGTGAATAGAAAACAAGATGAAAGCAAAGTTTGTGAGCTTTTAAAATTTCACATTTATATGGAACTTTTCAGTGACTACCAGGAATGTTGATTTGGGGTTGGAGTTTAACTTGGGATCTGAGTTGGGTTGGAATTTTGAATTGGCTAGCAGTTTGCCTTGGGGTTGGAGTTTGCTTTCAGGTTGCAGTTTGCCTCGGGGTTTGACCTGAGCTTGGGCTTGCAGTTTGGGTTTTGGTTGGGTTTGGGGTTTGGCTTGAGGTTGGGATTTTGTTTTTTTTTTTGGAGCCTGAAACAAATTAAAAATAAGTACATGAAATTTGAAGGTGGGGAAAAAAAAATTATATATATAATGTGTGTGTGTTTGTGTCAACATCAAGCTGCACTGTTTCATACTTAAATGCAAACTTCAAACATTTAAGGATGAATGACTATCACTACTTAGTGCCAAAATCAATCCTGTTTTTATACATTAAAAAGAGGGGGTTAAAATGATTATTTATATACTGAAGACTGAAAATTATAATACAAATTTGGCAGTAAAGCCCAAAAGCAAAAGAAACAGACAACTTGATTACCCAAAGTTATATAGAATCAAACTTATTTTTTATGTAACATTTAGTTATGACAAACAATCCAGAAGAGGTAGAATAGTTGAATTACAAAATTAAAACAAAAAAAAAAAAAAAAATACATATATATATATATATATATATATAAAACAAAGTAATAATTATACAAAAAATAAGTAAATTCATGAAAATGGAAGAAAAAAAAAATCAGTTCTTCATCTTTTGTTTATTGACGTTTCAAAACATGCAGTTATTGAAAAAGGGTAATAAAAATTACCAGGGTAAGTTCAAGTTAAAAAACAAAAACAATTTATTCATATTCTGCAAAGTATACTTAATCTTTACCTTACTAGAATTTTGAGATTTTGTCAGTTGATAATTTTTTACATCACTTAATTTTTAATGTTTGCAAGTAAATTTTAGCCAGAGTTTAAGTCATCAGTTTTACTTTTCTTTAAACTGAGGAATTAGCATTGTTTAAGAGTCCACACTTTGACCAGTGAACAAGTTACCCTTACAAGAAAATAAATAGGTTTGAAATTTCATCTATTGAGGTTCATGAGCATAAACTAACAAATTTCAATCAAACACATGTAGCAATTTCTTAAAACAAGCATTATGGACTCATTGTTGGAAGTATTATTAGATTTTATGCCATTTTCTAAATTATACAAACAGGAATTTCCAATAGTCACTGCATTAAGGAACAACGCCATTTTATATTAAAAAAAAAAAAAAAAAAAATTATAGGATAATGAATGATCACTGCAGCAAATAATTGCTAGAGTTATTTCAATTACTAATCTTGTTTCATTGTTAGTTTTCAATAAATCCAGCCCACAATCCTTATAGAAAAACCTAAGGGGATTTGATTAGTACTAAGCTAACTTGAAAATGTTAGCTAACAGAAGAAAATACATTGGCGGGGGGCAGCAGAGAATAGCCAAGTGATTAGAATGTTAGCATTGTGATTAGGTTTGACTCTCAGTATGGTCGAGATCTCAAGAGGTCTTATTAATATTAAGTTTGAGAGAAGATCTTAACATGCAGCACTATAGGGGGGGGACGCTGAAAATAATCCCATCAGTTGACTCAACCTTTGTGAAATTTGATAGGCAGAATTGTTCAAAGCCAGTCAATGATTGCATTAACACAAAGTCAAGTCACTGAGATCATCTCAGATTATGAACTCTCTCAGAAACTGTAACCAAAAACTACTCAGCATAGTTGCAGTATAAACCTACTGCTCAGTGGGTGTTGAAGAAAGACTAATATCCCTGACCAGATATCTGCAACAGGCATTAGCCCTCTACACTTCAAAACAAGCAACCAGCCATTTATCTCAATCCTTTCTATATTGATTTCTCATCTGAAATTTTTAAAATGAAATGACATATTCTAATAACAAAAAGCACAAATTCAGTAGTCTGAAAAGTCTTAGAATAAGGATGACCAGTTTTAAAATTAGCAAATATAGCAAATAATTGTTTAAACTGGATAGAAATCTGTCATACTTCTAGAGTATTACTTTAAAACCACACACACAAAAAAAAAAAAAAAATT